CCCTTTACTCAATAATCCCATGCATAAAAATGGAAGAGACTTCTTTCCTTTCTGGCACATTAAGGGATGTTTGTAGTTCAGACACAAATCCATCATGTCCTTGATTTCTTTATCTCCTTGTTAGATAGAACTACTCCATCAAATTTCAGATAACTTTCAGATCATGCTTTTAGCATCCCACAGTAGTGAAATTCCTCAAGGTTACACGGCTCTTTGTTTTTCTGTTTGTGATCCAACATCTTGATGGAACCTAGAAATTGTGTTGTCACAACTAGCCAGGAAGCCCTTTGAACTCATGGCATTTTGTGATCTCTCCACCTACTTACCTAGGAAACAGCTTTTTGTGGTTACTACATTTTCAGGACAGCTGAAATATTCTGCACCCCCAGACTGGATCAATTTTACCTTCAGTTTCACCAAGACCAGTTCGTTCTCAAACTGGATATTTTTTTCATACCTGAGGTAATATTGGCCTTCCACATCAATCAGGACACCACATTGCATGCATTGATGTAGAACACACCTTAGACGTGGAACAGGTCCTTCATTGCACAGGTCCTTCATTGGACAGGATCACCAGTTTCATGCTTCTCAAAGACTTTTCATCTTCCATTATTCTAAAAGAAAATTGCTCCCTATTTCTTTGCAATGTTTTTTGAAATGACTTATGAACTAACCAGAAAGCCTCCTCCAGCTTGTGTCCATTGTTACTCCATGAGGTGCTATGGCTGCATCAGCTGCCTTGCTGGAAGGTGTGTCCACTGGAAAATATTTGCATAGAAGCTATATGGTCACAGTCATGATTTCTCACTATAGATTGAATGTGCAATCCAAGGCTAATGCTGCTTTTGAGAGACCAGTGTTGTTTTCCTGCTTAAAATGATGCTCCTTTCTCTTAGGATTAGTATCTTGCTAGTTTCCTATTTGCGTGACTCAAAGAGACCACGAAGAAGTATAACAAGTTGCATACAACAAGTTGTAACTGGAGTTCTACAAGTGATCATCTGTGAACTCACAGCTCCCTGATCATGTCCTGCTTCTCCTTAGATCTTTTGACAATGATGCTCTGTTGTCCTTGGAACTGAGGGAAGTGAGTGGATGAGGCACCTAATGCTACCCCAAACCATATGTAATTGCTTTAGAAGTTTCCATACTATGCGCTGTACAGGAACAGATAACCCATTAGGGTAAATTGACAGACAACCACTTATAACAAATATGCAACTTGCCCATGCTTCTAATTTATCCAGCATGGAGATTGGAAAGTAGAATGACACTTTTTGTTTGACTGAAATAATTTTGGAGACGTAAGGTTCCTGCTTCTGTCTTTATTCCATCAAGAGACCAATCATTGGTCTAAATGCTCTGGCTATTTCTAACTAAGTAGACCCATTAAATCAGTGGGATTTAATTACATATATTATAGTGACTGTCATCTAAACATTTTTGCTAAATTTTCACATTAAAATATACCTTGGGAGAAAAAAAGAAGAGTGAAAATTATTTTGGATTAAACAAGTTTAGAATTTCTCAGTAAAACAACTATTATGCATAATATTTTTTATTTTAGTAGGTTGAAAGTGTAAGTATTGTAACAAGATTTAATGCATAGTAATTAAATCTGGGAAGCATGGCACTCTATAATCTGAAAATACAGAGAATGGCTTCTGCTTGGCAGTTCCATTTTATAAGTGTCCCACAGGGCTAGGTAAGGAGGAACAAGAATCTTCATCTTCATTCATCTCTACAGTTCTAAAACCAGTTTTCTTCTTTTTATTTTATGGCTATTGCTAAATTTGATTAAACCATTGAGCCTAATATTTAATTATAACTAACGAAGGGAATGATTTAATTAAACCAAAGCTGTACAGGTCCTTTTGGGTGATAGATGTTTAGCAATATGTTGCTGGGACAGAACTAGAAAGCCTAAATTGGCTGCTTGTCAAGGTTCCCAAGTCCTTTAATGAATAATGGGAAAGATTATGTCAGCTGGGAAGAATGCCACTGTAGAAAACTAGTGTTAAAACTAAATATGGTGGAAGATACCTTCCTAGTGTGAATGTAATAACAGTAAAGGTAATCGGTTCTGTGACTGGCTTCTACTGATAAGCTTCTTTAGAATGTTGGTCCAAAAGCTACCAATGAGTACACCCAGATAACATATGACTCAAGAAAGGTTTTGGTGGACCTCCTTTCAAATCTTTAAACATGGCAGTCATGTTCCCTCTTAACTTTCATTTCTCTGAATTGAACATCCTCAGCTCCCTAAAGAATTCTGTATAGGGCTTGGCTTCCAAACCTTTGATCATTTTGGTTGCCCTTCTCTGGACACATTCTAGCTCAAGCATGGGCAAAATTTGGTTCACCGGGTGTTTTGGACTTCAACTCCCACATTTCCTAACAGCCAATAGGCTGTTAGGTATTGTGGGAGTTGAAGTCTAAAACACCCAGAGGGTCGAAGTTTGCCCATGTCTGCTGTAGCTTGTCCTTCTAGATCAGTGGTTCTCAACCTGGGGTGCCCAGATGTTTTTGGCCTCCAACTCACAGAAATCCTAACAGCTGGTAAACTGGCTCGGATTTCTGGGAGTTGTCGGCCAAAAACATCTGAGGACCCCAGGTTGAGAACCACTGTTCTAGATATTGTCACACTGAGGAGGAGATAAGCTTTTTTTCTGCTGCTCTACAGAGTAAGACATGGAACAATGGATTCACGCTGCAGGAAAAAAGATCACATCTAACAATTTGGAAAAACTTCCTAATGCTAAGAGCTGTTCAGCAGTGGAATATGTTGCTTTCTCTTGATATTTTTAAAGAATAGTCTGGGTGGCAATCTGTTAGTATTGCTTTGAATGTGTGGGTTCCTCCATGACAGAGGGTTGGACTGGATGGCCCTTGTGATCTCTTCTAACTCTATGATTATATTTTCATTAGAACCAATAATTGGATTCAGGACATAATAGAGCAGGATTCATGAAAGCAATCTTGGTGTACAATTAATGTCCAACAAATCTGACTCTTAAAATCAACAACAAAATACTTCGTTAATATCAAACCCAGAATATAGACATGGATTATGGCCTCATCATATTGAGATAAGAAAGTGCAGGTGGCCATCCTTTTAATGTAGGCAATCACCCCACTCCGAGTTCTACCTCCCCATCACAGATGTCTCCCATCACAGATGTCTCCCTCTGTTTGTCCATTGTTGCCCTCGATCAGCTTTATCACATGTGAAAACCTAAGAGCTGGCAATAAATTCATCTTACATTCACCACAGGGGGAATCCTTTTCTCTGCCTTCTCCGATTACTTTTTTTAAAAAATCAGGAAAAAATCCAAAAGCCAAGACATCCCTAGCCCTGCCCAAAGCCCCTTACATTAAAGCAGTAGTTCTCAACCTGTGGGTCCCCAGATGTTTTGTCCTTCAACTCCCAGAAATCATAATGTCTGGTAAACTGGCTGGGATTGCAGGCCAAAACACCTGGGGACCCACAGGTTGAGAACCACTACATTAAAAGAAACTGAGACCATTTTAAAAACTTTTCTTTCCATGGGATACAATTGCCCTGCCCAAAGCCCCTTATAATAAAGGAGACTGATGGGGCGGGCAATGAAATGGGCTGGGAAAACTTTGACAGTTCCCATTCCACCTGCTTTTCAGTTATAACCATGGGAGTAATGCACAGTAGAAGGTATGAGCTCGGAACACAATTGCTCACCTGTGTTCAGAGTTCCCTCCTTTCAGGACATTTTTGCCTCTTTTCAACAATGAAGGGCTATGCATGATGGCCAGAAGTAGTTTAACCTCATGTGAAGAGCTTCATGCCTCTCCATGCTTGAAAAGAGTCTGAAGTATCCTATGATGGGGAAATTTCTCAGTGTGATGATGTCCTAAGTAAACCACATGTATAAGTTGAAGTAAGGTTCTGGGGCTAAAATTTCCACACCTAGGCATTCAAAAAGGTCAGAAGTGGCATTGCAGATGATAAAGTAGAGGGGACTGGTATTTCTTTTAAGTTCTATTGTGATGGACTAAGCTCTTGTCTTTTACCACTCAATTTAGAAAAGGGAATGGTTACTTTTTAAATTGAGAATTAAGGTACAGTGCTTAAACATCAGGCTGCAAACACATCTGGGACATTTTTGGGAGTTGGAAAACCCATATTTAATGTCATAAGCAAAAGGCCTACAAAAGAAACAACCTGTCACATTTCTACTGTGTTTTTTTTAAAAAAAGAGAATCTTTAATGTGGAAGTATCAAGAAGAATCAAGAAATAGCAAGAAGCAACATTACATGATGCAATAAGTTAGCACAATCACTAGTGTGGATGAGGTGTAAATAAACTTAATAACAAAAGTCGCTTGCCGATTGGAAGGAATTAAAACAGGTCAGAGATGCCCTTCTTATTCTGCTTCCAGTGAACTCAAGCAACTCTTCTATGCCACACTTCCAAGGTTGCTTACAAGTGAAAAAAAGGCAAAATTATGCTTATCAAAAAGTCTGTTGTTGTTGTTGTTGTTGTTGTTGTTGTTGTTGTTGTTGTGGCACTTCACCATTTATGGTGATCCTAAGACAAACTTTCTATGGAATTTTGTTTACAAGATTTGTTCAAACTACATTTGACATTGTCTTCTGAGGCTTCTAGAGTGGCGATCCATGACTCAGTGGGAATTTGAACCCAGTCTCCAGAGCCATAGTCAATACTCCAACCACTACACTGGTTATCAGCATAACTAGACAAACTACATAGATTTCAGAATGAATACAGTGACACATGATTTCAGACTGAGCAGTTATACACATATAAATGTGTATCAACACAGTTTATTCATTCTTTAATCAAAATTGGGTAGGTATAAAACTTCTTACAACTAATGTTTGGCCCTCAATACTACTGATGTAAGGACGAGTCATTGTCTCAAAGTAAGATTGATATCAAAGTGACTCCATAATACCTAACAGTTATGGATATCTTTTTGTGTCTTTTGTATTTCTGTAGTTATGAAATGGAAATTCACAGTTTCTACTGGTGACCAGCCAATGGCTGGTACCAGCTCACAAGTTTATATTGCTTTATATGGAGATCAAGGTAATTCAAGAGCTATTTTTGTAGAAGGAGAGGAGAAAAAAGTATTTGAAAGAGGAAATACAGATATATTCATTGTAAGTATACAGTTCCTTCTTTGCCTTGTTTTTAAAATATCACACAATGTAAAAATAAGGGATAGTAAGCATCTTTGTTAAGCAAAGTTCTGAGGGGAACACATTTCAGGTGTACCTGTGAAACCTGGGAGACAACAGAAACAAACAGTGGTGCACATTTTCTTTTTTCAGTGTAGATTGTCTTTTGTAGTGAAAGTGTGATGGTGGTTAGACCATGGGGCAAAATGCCCAATTTGCCATCAGCTTGAAGGCAAACTAGTGAAAAGTATGTATATATTAAGTATATACATGCACACACACATGCAAAAGGACCATAAAAATAAAAGATGGATACTTAGATGAGTATAAAGAATATAAATCATTCTATTACCCAAGTTCCTGCCATCTTTAGTCCATTTAAATGTATAGAGATTTAGATCAGTAAAAAGCTCAGCCCACACTACTACCAACTCATCTTGCTGTTTACCTAGACGGAAGCCCATTCAATCAAGGAGATTTCTGCATATTGAGAATTATTGCTTCTACTATACCAGGAAAATAAATAAACAAGGATCTTTATAGGAAAACAAAATCATTTCGGACTCTAAACCAGGGCTCCCCAAACTAAGACCCACAGGTTCCATGCACAGATCATTTACCTGTCCCCACCCTAAACTTTAGATTTAGGGTCATCCTAAATCTGAAACAACTGGAAGGCACACAACAAGAACAATCCTAATTACCCATATTTACACGAGTCTAGTGCCCTCAGTGGTGCAGCAGATTAAACTGCTGAGCTGCTGAACTTGCTGACCAAATGGTTGGCAGTTCAAATTCAGGGAAGGGGTGAGCGCCTGCAATTAGCCCCAGCTTCTGCCAACCTAGCAGTTCAAAAACATGCAAATGTGAGTAGATCAATAGGCATCACTTCAACAGGAAGGCAACGGCACTCTGTGCAGTGATGCCAGCCACATGACCTTGGAGGTATCTACTGACAATGCTGGCTCTTTGGTTTAGAAATGGAGATAAACACTACCCCGAACACTCATGGGTGAGTATCTGGACACCACCCTTGCAAAACCACGGGGTTTAGGTCAGCTGTGTAGCCTCCATCCCAAGAGGAAGTGGGATTTAAAATCCCAATTTCGCTTGGATTTTTTGCCTGTCTAAAGGTCCTTCCACACAGCCATATAACCTAGAATATCAAGGCAGAAAATCCCACAATATCTGCTTTGAACTGGAATATCTGAGTCCACACAGCTATATATCTCAGTTCAAATCACATAATGTTGGATTTTATTCAGCTGGGTGGAAGGGGCATTAGAGGAACATTTCTGGATTTTTTCTAACTTTTTAGTGATCATTTTATTTTTTCTTTAATCAGTTTTTCCCATTTTTTTTTACCAACTTACAAGTCCACCAGGCATGGAAGAAGGTAGCTTTTTGTAATTTACATCTCCAACATCCACCCCCCCCCCAACCCGGTGAGATTTATCTATTTTAGCTATTGCCTCAGGTGTTATATAACTTCTATAAAACATTTTATACATATTCTCTCTAATAGATCCTGCTATTGAAAATTTAAATCCCCTTTTCCATAAATATTCTCAATTATCCAACTCAGTATTTTCTCCTAAATCTTTAGCCCATGAGATCATCACTGTTTTTATTCTGTTAGCTTCTAAATTGTACTCTAATATATATCTATGTAATCTGGAAATTAATGTTATTCCCCTTCTCCAAAATGTTCTCTAATTTTGATTTTCTTTTCGCAAATCCTACCTTATTCTCTTTTAAAAATATGTCATATAGTTGATTATAACTAAACCAGTAATTTATCCCCTAACTTTTCTCTTCCTTTTAATTTTAAATGCTCTTTTTCCTTTAATTAAGTACTCCCTATAAGTTTTCGTTTCCTAATTAAATATTGAGTTTAGCATTGCTTCCAGAGAGCACAGCCATAGAAGGGTTTTTTGTTCCATCCCCGCCTTACATTTCTTCCTCGTTTCCAAATTTTTAAAACTCCAGTTATCACAGGGACAGAAAATGAGGTGAAATCTTCTTAACAGGGCACACACAGAAAAATAAATCCCATGGGGTGTTAACCCTTCCCAGGGCTATCCAAAGCTGAAAAAAATGTTTTTGGCTAAAGTTATACTTTAAAAATGTACCTCTTCCAACTTACAAACAAATTCAATTGAAGAATAAACCTACAGAGCCTATCTTGTTTGAAACTGAAATTACTAAAGCAGTTTTATTTTAAAGCAGCTAGCCAAACTTCTATTTTATGCTGTGCTATCAAACAGATTGACACGGAAGACGTAGGAAACCTCTACAAAATACGAATAGGACACAATAACTCTGGAGAAACTCCTGCTTGGTATTGCAAAGAGGTGAGATATTTGAATGTTAAACCAAAGATCTTCCAAAGATCCTAGTAATGTACAGTTTTGATGCTCCACCAACACATGAGTCATGTCATATTGCCTGTTCCTGTCATTTTACATTTTTTTTAGCATTCTCTGCCATATAATTCTGATGCCTAACTACAATTCCCATGTTTCCATAGCACTAAGCCATTGCAGTTAAATGGAATCAAATTGCATTAATTCTACATTGTATATTTACTCCAAATTTACTGGCAAACTAAAATCCACTATGCTTTGTTTTAACAAGTTTGAAGAAGCATTTTGTGATGGCTTTTGGACTGTGTATATTGTACTGCTCCTGGTGGCGCAGTTGGTTAAAGCATTGAGTTGCTGAACTTGTGGACCGAAAGGTCGCAGGTTCGAATCCATGGAGTGGCGTGAGCTCCAGCTGTCAGCCCCATCTTCTGCCAACCTAGCAGTTCAAAAACATGTAAATGTGAGTAGATCAATAGGTACCACTCTGGTGGGAATATAATGGCACTCCATGGAGTCATGCCAGCCATATGACTTTGGAGGTGTCTACGGCTCTGGCTTAGAAATGGAGATTAGCACTAACCTCCAGAGTCAGACATGACTGGACGTAATGTCAGGGGAAAACCTTTACCTTTTAATCTTTTTAGTACATAACATAATGCAAATGCATTTTGTATATTGTAGTAGCCATGCTCTTCAGTTACTAAGCTTTTTTTCTGGAATATCTTTCTGTAATGAAACTCATATGATGTTAAATAAAATGCACATTATTTATTCTCAAATATTTCATCTTGAACTAAGGCAAAACATTCTTTCTCTTTACCTGAATGCTCTAATTTTCACAATGATTAATCTCAAAGATAATAAGAAATATTCTGCAAAGAAAATATTAAGTATTTCAATGAAGTATTTTAGTACATGATATTTATTTTCCTTACTGGCTATATATTTAAACAAAGGCCATTATAAATGAACCATCGAAAAAGCAAAGCCCATACACAAAAGGCTCATATATCCTTTTACTGTGAAATCTTTTTGAGAATCAAAGAAAGAAACTAAGCAAAAAATGTTGCATGCGATGGTTGGAGAAACCGTTGCTAGTTGTTTGTTCATATGCACTAGAGAAAAAAAAACCTTGTTAACATTAAGCTAGAACTTTATTATCATAAAGTGAAAAGAGTTAAAATGGGTGAAAGGCACACACTTTTCTGCAGATTTACAGCAAAAGTCATGGAGCAAATTTCAGTTTCTTCAGTGAGACTTACTCCTGAATGTACATGTTTGCAGTCTGTTAAGAATTCTCTTTCTTGGTTCATTATGACAGGATGATTTCTATTGGGCAAAAAATCCCAGACATTTCCAATAAATGTCTGGGATTTTTGCATGTCATTGTATTAGGCTTCAGAGAAAGGAGTTCTCTATTGCTATCCCAGGATATAAAACTATTCAAATGTTTTATAATTCAGACAGATTTAATTTTCCACATGAAATGACTCAAGTTAGCAAAGAATCATATATTTGTATTTGTTATTATCTTCAGTTTATGAAGTGGAGACACATGCTGCTCAGCTGTAGGTGGGTTTCTCTTCTTCATTTTTATAGAGGGAAGGTTTCTCATTTGGTTCTGAAGAAAGTTCTGCTAAAAAGACAAATAAATTGGTCCAAGAGCAAATCAAATCTGCACTCTCCCTAGAAACCAAAAAAACTAGATTGAGATTGTTATACTTTGACTGTATCATGAGAAGACATAAGTTACCAGAAAAAAACAAGAATTCAGGCTTCTGACTGGAGCTAGCTATAAGGAGCACACCATGCCTCTATTAAAGCAGCTCCACTGGCTGCCTGTAAGTTTCCAGTCCCAATTCAAAGTGCAGGTTATTCCTACAAAGCCCTGCACGGTTCAAATCCAGGCTACCTACGTGACCGCATTACCCTCTATGACCCTGTGTGGGCTCTAAGATATTCCAGGAAGGCCCTCCTCTCAGTCAACAACAACAACAAGAATTAATCCATAAGTTCATTTCTGTGATCTCTAAGAAATGTCAGCATGAATCCAAGACTCTGGACTCTTTGTTCTAGAGAAAGTAGATTACAAGTAGCCCATCACAACATCTTCCTGTCAAGCTATATGATCTATAATTTTTCCATTCTCTCAGATACACAGGAAAGATTTTTACATGATCTTCAAACATTTCTCCACATTTTTCTTGTGCTACTGGGTTTCCCTTCCCTAAGCTCAAATCCTGAGACGTTGGTAAGATATTAAAGCAGCTCCACTGGTAAGATATTCCCCTGACATTAAGTCCACTCTCTTTGCCATATAAAATATTCATTTGAAATAATAGGAGACATGTATGGGAATTAATAAGATCTTTACCCCACGTTTAACTTCAGCTTTCAGTCCTCATTAGTATTTCTGAGGAAATAATATCAAAATATAGTGTGCATTTTTAAAAGTGTGATCACGTTGGATTTGTACCTTTTTAAAAAAGTCTAGCACGAAACATGACTATTATACTTGACTATTTGAGCTTCTGTTACAGTGGTATGGATTGTAATAGGATCATGATTTAGTTCCTTTTTTGAAAAAAAAACCCCACTCCAATGAACTAAACTTGGTGACTTATATTTCAGCTGCAATTGCAGAACCTGGTCACAGAGGAACAGTTCGATTTCCCTGTTGACAGGTGGCTGGCAGAAAACAAAGATGATGGTGAAATCTGTCATGAATGTCCTGTTTTACGACAGGGTCAGCCGGTTCTTCCAGGTGAGGAATACAGAGTAAGAGATATATACTTTAGGAGAGAGTTATTTTCTCTAGGAAATTGTTGTGGAGCATCAGTATGTCACAGAAAATCAATGATGAAATATATAACAATTAGAGATAAATTCTGAAATAACTGAAACTTCTGAATTGTCTTCAAGGGCAACTCTGTGTACAAAGCATTAAAATAACTCAATCGAAAGCTTACCAAAGCATGAACCATGTATTCCTGTTCAGGAATTCTCATAGCAAGGTATGAACCAGAAGAAATTAGTAAAAGGAAAGAAATGGAATTAGTCTTGGAGACTTGGGATCTCATCACAGAGGTCCTGAAGCCGGGTGACAGCCGGGGGATTCACCATTGCTTCATACCTCACATCACCCGCTGTGCCGCTTTCCCCATCATATGAGGGAAAGCGATGCTGCCCGGCTCCCCCCATTCAATCTAATGAAAACACTGGCAGCATCCTAAGACTCTGCCAGGACACTTTCTGTATGAAGTCCCACCAGAAGTAGCCTTTCATCATATGATGGGTTAGGACACTTCATGAAGATAAGGTGAAGAGGCCCTAGGCTTTGAATCCCTGGTGAATTATGAAAATCCACAGGGCAAATCACATTCTCTGCCAGAGGAAAGCAATGACAGCGTTCCTTGGAATGCATCATGTCAAGAAAACCCATGACAGGGGTTGCTATAACTCAGAGTTCACTTGAGGGCATTTAACATCAACAAGGTATGGATGCCACCTCGCCCATGAATAACAAACTAGATAAAGGAGTACCTCAAGCTATTCACTGCTCATAAATGCAATTGAACCTATAACAGGTTGTACCCATTTCTCAGGTATGCAAACTCTGAAGCAATTGGCCTTTATCTTATCATAGGGCCCTTCCATACAGTTATATAACCCAGAATATCAAGGTAGAAAATCCCACAATATTTGCTTTGAACTGGGTTATCTGAGTCCACACTGCCATATATCCCCGTTCAAAGCAGATAATGTGGGATTTTATTAAGCTGTGTGGAAGGGGCCATAGAATCATAGAATTATAGAGTTGGAAGAGACCTCATGGGTCACCTAGGCCAACCCCCTGCCAAGAAGAAGGAAAATCACATGCAAAATCTTCTTTGAATTCACTTCAGTAGTACACATTTGATGTTGTTGTTTAAAGTCTGTTCTAGAAAATGTTACTGAATATAAAATTGTGTATTTTGTTATCCTTAGTGGTAGTGTATGAGCTCCTTGTGGTCACAGGGGATTTATGGAATGCTGGAACAGATGCTGATGTCTACATTGTAGTCTGTGGAAAAAAAGGTGACACAGGATCCCGACGACTCCTTAAATCAAAGAATCCTAGGAAATATCTAAAAGGACAAGTGAGTGAATTAAAGAAATGTTTTGCAAGTAGTTACATGTTCCTACCCTCTGTTCTCCAAAGATTATAAATATTTCTGCAGATTTTATTAATGTGGTCAACACTTATATCCATAAATTCACTCCCAATAATATTTGTGCAACAAATAAATTTCCTCTAAAAGACTTGTCCATAGTTGTATTATTATATCCATGCACATATACAATTTAAGAAGGAAGTATGCTGAAGCTAATTTGGTAGGTGAACCTACCTAAATCAGCTCAAGTAATCTGGACTCATTCACAGTGCAGGGCAACTCTCTGTTGGGAGATCAGCAAACATCTCTGCCAACTGTTCAGAAGTAATTGACCTCTTTGTCCTGCTATCAATTACAGAAACAATTTCTTCACTCAGGCTAAGTAGAACCTTGAAAAATATTCCAGGGCTTTAATTTTCAGAGATAACTGGATATGATAACTTTGTACAGAAAATGTGACTATTCAATTTTACATGGCAAAAAGAGAAATAAAAGTTTATAAGTTTGTAGCAACTTGGTACCAATTGCTTTTAATGTATTTTCAAGGACTGAATGTTAAAGGTGGACCTCCAACCAAATAGGGATTTTTTGGTAATACGTGATACAAAATGGAGCAACTAAGAATATATGTGAATGAATAATAATATATATGCCTGAATACCAATAGATATAATAAAATAATAAAATAGTAATAAATATAATATTGATAGGTGATTTACTAATATCTGCGAATGATTGACTATGGGATTTGGTAAACATTTATGTGTTTGAATTTTAAAAAGAGAATAAATTAATTCTTTTTTACAAAATACCCATGGAAATCCTAGGTATTTGGTGAAATTTAATGTTTTTAAAATAAGGTTGCAGTTCCATACCCACTTATTAGTAAAATATTAGTGAAGTATACCTCAGCATAGTGGTGCTAGATAGCTTCCATGTCAGAGGAAGGTTGAATCCTGAACCCTTTTAGACAAACCAGTTCTATTATTTACTTTAACTGCCATGGTTCAATCATGGATACCTCTGGGATTTACAGTTTGGGAGTGCCATTCAGAATTCTTTGGGTTGTTGGATTTTTAATTCTGGATTTTCTGCTTTTTACACATTTCCCTCCTACATTTGATACTCCTTCAATTGTTTGATTGCAGACCGATATCTTCTCCCTGGAAGCTGTGCACCTTGGACATTTACACAAGATTGTTATAGGACACAATGGAATTGGTGCAGGTCAGAAATTTCAATATAGTATTCTCCCTACATCTTTCTGTGGCATAGAAATGATGACAAGTGGGTCATATGACTGTTGTAAAGACCACATTTATCTTGAAGAAATGACAGGTCTGTTTTCATGCTAAGCAAGCTATTAAAGGGAAAGCTAGACACAGAATACCATCATTTGTGAGCATTGCGACAAAATGGATATTTGGCTCTCACAGGTGAACATGAATACTATATATATTCTCTTAGGTGTCATCTATGAAAGCATGAATTAATTTTCAACCTTATATTCCCAGCAGCATAAAGAAATCGGCCCTCACAATTATGCTTTAAACTTGTCAGAAACATATCGTTCTCCCAGACTGATGACAATCTACATTGTGTATCTGTTCTCTGACTATTTATGCCTGAATCACTGCATCTCTCTGTGTATGGAATATGCCATACATTTACACTACCTAATGGCACTTCACCATTCAATAAGAAAGTAGTACCCCTGCAGATTATGAGCTGTGTGCTTGGATCGATTCTAAGGAATATCCCATACATTATTATAATATCTTTATAATATTAATATAAACATTAATTTGCAGTATGTAAGTTTTAATTAGAAGCTAACTAGGCAGGTGGCTATTTTCATTTTGATAGGTTTTTGAAGACTCATTGCTTAAAGATATACTAGCAGGCCTTTAATGATGTACTGCATTGCCAGTATCAGATATTTTTCTCTTTCAGTGGACATGTTTTGATTTCTTTTTATTTTATTAATAGTTTTATTATATTTTTACTTTTTATAATGTGGATTTTAGTTGCACCTGTTTTCATTTTTGCAAACTGCCTTGATAGCCAAGGTTTGGGAAAAGCTGAGATATAAATGCATATAAATGCACACATAAGGTAAAGATTTTCCCTTGACATTAAGTCTAGTTGTGTCCAACTCTGGGGAGTGGTGCTCATCTCCATTTCTAAGCAGAAGAGCCGGCGTTGTCCATAGATGTCTCCAAGGTCATGTGGCCGGCATGACTGCATATAGCTCTGTTACCTTCCCGCTGGAGCGGTTCCTATTTATCTACTCACATTTGCATGTTTTCAAACTGCTAGGTTGGTAGAAGCTGGGGCTGACAGCAGGACCTAACCCAGTTCCCTGGATTCGAACCACTGACCTTTCGGTCAGCAAGTTCAGCAGCTCAGCAGTTCAATCTGCTGTGCCACAGGGTTACACACACACACACACACACACACACACACACATATTAAAGAAAACATGTGAGCAGAATTCATTGTAAAGTCCTGTGTTTCAAATGACATCAAGTAAAATATACATGGTGGTTGTCCCTCTTATAGCTCCTTCACATGCATAAACTATCAATCTATATTTTAATTGTTGTTTGATCAAAGATGCAGTAAATTCATTACTGAGAGTGGAATTTGTTATCAATTCTCCTAGGAAATGGTTGGTTTCTGGAGAAAATGGTAGTTAAGGACCCAATCACTAACTTGGATTACCATTTCATATGCCACAGGTTTGTAAAATGTATAATTTTGAATGGCTATAATAGTCAGCTTAAGGTTTCAAAGTTCCCATCCTGATTTATCCATGCAAACAATAATAATTAGCCACTTTAGGCATGATCTTACATCAGTATGTTATTAATTATATGACTCTCATTGTCCCACTTATGGGAATCTTATATGTGTGAGTGCTTAGTAATGAAGAAAGTTTTATAGTTTCATTTCTAATTGACTGTTCTGATACAGATTTAACTTGCAGCACTAAGAGACTTAAAGAATATGCTCATGGATAGTCTGACCTCATGTATAAGTTGAGTGTAGGTTTTGGGGCCCAAAATAGTGGTGGCTGCCAACCACCACTGTTTTTCCATCTCATTCATCAGAGATGGAAAAACAAGAGTGCCATCTCAGGGGGTCAAGTATACTTGGCTACCATGACTATTTTCCCACCAAGGTATTCAAAAAGCACAGAATCAATGACCTTGGAAAGAAGAGAGGAGGCAGTGCTTTTTTAAAGTTTTCCCAAGATTGACTAAGCTCTTGCTTTTCACCATTCTATTCAGAAAAGGGGCCTCTCTCTCTCTCTCTCTCTCTCTCTCTCTCTCTATATATATATATATATATATATATGAGTTAAGGTACAATGGTGACATTGATCCATGGATACATCAACTTAGCTTTTTTGGACTAATTTTTTAAAACTAAAAAACAGTATATATGCGACATTATATGTTCTGTCAGAAATTTTGGCTCAGATTAATCCTCCTAGTGTCTCCTCAGTCCTTTCTCACAAGAGAATGAAACAGCTCCCAAACAATTTAAAAACTTTTCAGATCTTTCGTAATGAAAATACATTCTCATTTACTGATGGTTCAGAAGATGAAGTCAAATTGTGAGCATATAAAAGTATCTTTGAGTCACATGAGTGCATACAATGGAAAGTCATCTAATATTTCCGGGTGTAGAAAAATACTGGCACGGTGCTGAAAATTAGATGTGCCACATTGCCCCCTCCTGGGCAGGTCCAAACCATTTGTACTTCATTACAGACTAGGTGAGGGGAAATATCCCAGGCTGGTTGCGAGATGATCCAGGGAAAATGAAGAATTCTTTCTTTGTTGTTGATTATTCATTCAGTAGCTTCTGACTCTTTATGACCTCATGGACTAACCCACGCCAGAGCTCTTACCTATTGTATTTCCACTCAAGTTTTGGGCATGATTTCAAAGAGAGATTTAATGCGCAGAAGACAGAGAGAAAGACAAACACACACATGCCTTTTAATGATCTCAATAACCCACTTTTCAGGTTTTAGATTAATGATTGCTTAGGTCTCTTCCACACAGCCATATAAAATCCACATTGAATTGGATTATATGGCAGTCTGGTCTCAGAACAGATATTGTGGATTATCTACCTTGATATTCCGGGTTATGTGGCTGCGTGGAAGGGCCCTTAACAGGCCTGTAACCAGGATTTTGATTCGGGGGAGCTGAGTTTGATTTGGGGGGGGGCCTGAGTCTGAGTGAAAGAGGGTCTACCCTAGCAAATCTTTTGTATCGTTACCCCAATACCCCCATGCATATGGGATATATTGAGCATGGTGATCAGATCATGATATGAATAACATAACAGTTTAAATAATGTACCAGTAAGGCCTTCTCGTGGACCACCATGAGAATTTCGGGGGGGGGGGGCTGAAGCCCCTCAAGCCCCCCCCCCCGGCTACGTGCCTGGCCCTTAATATCTTATATTTTCATATATGTATATTCCTAAACCATAATATACATCTACTCCATAGATATGTTTCCAACCTACGTACATATTATAAAAATGAAAATTTGTCTATGTAATGCCAGTTAGCCATAATGACAAAGTCTCATTTAGGTTGTCCTAATATTTTACTATAAAATATTCTTAGTAGGTTTATTGATTTTAAGCCTAATTAAATTTTCTGTCCCTGTAATTGTTCTAGAAAGATTGCTCTCATTTTGTACTTCATCTAATCTCAAGACCAGGGAATGTTTATTTAAAATGATAGCCTTTGACTCTAATGAAGCTTACTCTCAAATCAGTAGTTGCAGAATAAATGAATGCATAAACGTCTAAATGTCTATTTGGTCTATATATATGCATTCATTTTTCCTCAACTTAAAAACATTTATCACCCTATATTTAGAATTAAATTATTTCAAATTGACGAATTATATGGATTTATATGGATTAAAGCACAAGCAAAAAGAGCAGACATGGTACAGCAGTTTGAGTTGGATTATGACTCTGGGAGACCAGGGTTCCAGTTCCCTCTTGGCCATGGAAACCCACTAGGTTGCAGTCCCTCAGCCTCAGAGGAAGGCGAAAGCAAACCCTCTCTGAACACGCCTTGCCAAGGAAACCCTGTAAAAGGCTGTTCTTAGGGTCACCATATGTCAGAAATGAGTTGAAGGCAAACAACAACAGTATAATACAATTTTTTTTTAACATTATGATTTAAAATATATTTTAAACATTGTTTTAATTGTTTAATTTTGATAAGAAAAATCGGGCTTTTAAAAGAAGGTAACTATAACGGTATTTTATTACATTTTTGTTGTTTGGAACTTTCAATGATAGTAATTTGTGGAGTCCAGTTGAATCCCTGACAAGAAAACTATTAGTGTAATTATAACTCCCTCCCCAGTGACATTAGATTGGCCCGCTCCCTCCTGGTGTTCAGGAAAAAGGTAAAGTCCTGGCTCTGGAACCAGGCGTTCAGGGAGTAGTGCAATATGGAATTCCACTTAAACGCAGCACCACGAATAAGGACTATAAGAGTAGGCATCATGTTTTAATCATTTTTAATTATATTTGTATGTTTTATTGGTTTTATTGTTCAATGTATTATTATTTAGTATTCATAATTTGGCATTTAATTTTGCCATATGTGTAACCTGCTCTGAATCTCCTTCAGGATGAGAAGAGTAGGGTAGAAGTAAATAATAAATAAATAAATAAATCTTGTGGTCATTATGATTTTTAATAAAGAAAAAAGAAATATTCGTGCCCTTTAGAGATATGCCCTTTATCCTTAACACCTGTTTGGTTCAATTTTTTTTACTCAACTAAAACGTTATTTTGTACTTTCATTTTTAAAAAACTTTTCAAGGGTATACATTTATTCATACATATTTCCAAGAGAAATTTGTATCTAATCATGCAGGTATTTACAACATTTTTTAAATTTATAAACTAGATATATTCTTATTGTATACACATTTATTTCTTGCAAAGGTGGTTAGATGAAGGAGAAGATGATGGCAAAATTGTCAGAGAACTATATGCCATTGATAACTACACTTCTGCAATGCGTAAGTATTAACCAATTTCAAATAAAGACATTTCATGATAGCACAGAATGAGTATGATTTTAACAAAGAGCAGGTTCTGGAAGGACAACAGCAAGCCTATAGGTAAGTTTCCATGCCTTAAGGTATAGAATCTTGGAATTGGCAGAGAAGGTTGCACTTCTCCCATTCCCAGTTCAATTGCTTGCCCCATTGATAATGAGCACTGTTTTTAATTGTTAGTTGTTGTTTCATGCTTACATGTTTTATTTAATAGTATTTTTTCATGTTATGTTCTGCTTTTAGGCACCTTGTTCCATGTGCAAGCTGCCTTGAGTCCCTTCAGGGAAATGGTGGCGGAATAAAAGAATAATATTATTATTATAAGGTTAAAGACTTTTAAAAACTACATGATTCCCTAGCATTGAGCCAGGGCAATTAAAGTGATGTCAAGCTGCATTAATTCTACAATATAGATGCATCCGTAGAGGTTCTTACAAAGAAGATGCAAGAAGTTTGAGGCAACAGTGTTCTTCATACTTACTTGAGAGTAAGTTCCATTGAACAGAGGGACTTACTTCGAAGGCCATATACAGAGGATTGCAAATGAGCAAAGCAATCATAACAAAGGTGGGGCAGAATGGGAGTGTAATAGTGGTCAATCTGACAACCCATTTGCCCATACTCTGAAGATGACTTAGATCTATATGGTGATAGACAATAATACATGTTTATGAACTAAGTCTTATGAACTTATTGGTAAGTGGGAAGAATAGAGGGAGAGAAGGGAAGAGGAAATGTAATGTTATATTTGTAAGCTAGTATAAAATAGAATTATATGAGATTAATTCATAGGTAAATATTTAAATTCCATTGATTTTCCTGAATTTCACTCATATCAGTGTTGATATTTCTGTAGGACAAGAACTGGAAGTCAAAAAAGAAGAAATGGTAAATATCTTTGCATTTCAAAATAGCTTTCCCAAATAAATGGATCCTCTATTACACACACACTGTTCAGGGGAGGTACTATAGTGTATACTTATCTAAATCTTTTCTGCTTTTCTTAATACAGTGTTCCCTCACTTATTGCGGGGGTTCTGTTCCAGGATCTGCCGTAACAAGTGAAAATCCTGGCTCCCCCTCTCCTCCTCCTCCTTTCCCCCCTCCTTCCTAAATCACTAGTGCTTTGACATGAGGCCACAGAGGCTGCTGTGGAAAGGCCAGTCTCGGTCCTCAGGCAGGGAGAAAGGGAAAGAGCGCGCCTGTCCAGCCCTTGCCCTCCCGACCCTGTCCCTGACCCTGTCCCCTCCACCTCCAGTGCCTTTGGGACTCGGCCTGCCTGCTTACCTCTTTGGGGACCAGCTGGTTCTCCTCGCTGGGCACCATGGTGCAAGTAGGCAAGCCAGCCGGGAGGCAGAGGGAGGGAGAGCTCATCTGAGTAGGAAGGAGGCACGGATGGGAGCTTCCCTTGCTCTCGGTGACGGCCTCCTCCTCTTACCCTAACAGTAACACCTCAGCGCCCTCTCTGTGCAACTGGCCTGCCAGCGCCAATAAATACATATATATTTTAAATATGTGTGTGTGTGTGTGTGTGTGTATAAATGTGAAACAGAGAGTCCGCATAAAGCAAACTGTGAGGCGGTGAAGGAACACCACATACATTGTTTTGGGAAGAGGCTATAACCCATTGATAGGGTTATTTAGAGAGAGACTTCTCGGTGACTGCCCTGAGGACGTCATCATATGTGGGAATTTGAGCATCCTAGGATGCTTTCACCCCAGTTGGACCACGGAGCCCCACTCTGCCTGTCAGACAGTGGAACTCAGTGGCTTCTTTGGGGCAAAAGTGTCCTATAACTCTGCACCGGCAACACGGGAGCCTCCCCATGTTCCATTAGAAACAACTTGGGTAGCTCAGGGAAAAGACATGCAGTGATGCTTCCCCACATGTGATGAGGAAGCATTGCTATCAGCACGGGGCACGGGGCACCAGGATTGCTTTGCTGTCCCATCGATTTGCCACAGAGGCTAGCAAATCATAATGTGGGACTTCATCAATGTGATGAGGTCCTTAGACTCTGGAATTTCCCAGTGTGACTAGAATGGTCTTCCTCCTTGCTCTCCTTGAGGCACCAAGTTGGAAAAAATCCAGTCTAACTTTTCAAATAGAGAGTTTTTAAATAATAGGCTAGCAGATGCTTTATTTTCAGAGGTTTTTTTAAAATAAAAAGTAGCTTAATATAAAGCTTAATAAGATTGAATTTTATTATTTTATCCTGATCTGTAGTGTTTTAATGTTGTGATTAGTTTAATTCTATTGTAATATTTGCTCTTGCATGTATTAATTATATTTTAACTCAAATTGTGAGTAGTTTTGAATTCCAATCTTAGGAGGAAAGTAGGATATAAGAAAATAATGACGTAATCAACAACAACTGCATCTGTGTAAAGGAGCTTCATATGTTGCCTTTTGTGTGATGAGTTATATGTCTTGCTTTTACAAAATATTCAGTGGGCTACTGAAAAGTGGAAATTTCAGAAAGGCAATATCCTTCAGTTCTACAACAAGGTGACCCATGGATTCATACGCCTCAGTCAAGATGGAATGGTTGATGCCCTCGGCAGCAAGAAAGACAAACATGGTAACTTTTGGTCTGTTCTTTGTGACTGAAGGATTATTGTCTAATTTTATTTGTATGAATAAACAGTATCTTTCCATCAAAAGAAATCTGTTACAGAAATAATCCTGTTCCCCTCCCCAACTCTAATTAGGCAGTTTCGATGTCACTGTCAAGAAAGGAAACACATGGATATTTAAATGTCATCCGATGCCAAACCTTGCGCTTGCTGTTGCTCATGGCTCTGTCACTGGGATGGTAAGAAATGTTTTCAGCATTCCTGTTATCCTTTGAATATTTAACATTTCATCATAAATACAACACAGCGACAGTTAAAAGAGTGTTTTCATCAGAAGAATATGATCAATCTTACTTGTTTCTGTTTATAAGGTGTTTTGCTTAAATTGAAGATTTGAAATCTTAAGAGGTTTGGGAATCCATTGAAAATTTATGTATAATGTGGTTATCTTGTAATTGATAACTCTCAGAAAACAACTGGAAAAGGTCTTCAGGATTTGTCCCTATTAACACCAAAATATTATTTTACAATATATGGTGTGGGAGTAAATAGCTACTTTCCTTATGGTTTTTGACCATTGGGTTTCTTATAGATATCTGGTTGATCACAGTGAAAACAATGCAGAATTATACCAACCATAAATCTTTTTGTGATCTTACCTTCCCAATTAATATTAGTATCTTCTTTTCACCACTTAAATGCTGAGTAACTCTTAACTGTAATGATTCTGACTTTGGAGGGAGATACATACTTATATTTCTACACAGATTTATGTTTGGTGCATGTATGCATACAAATATAGAGTGTGAACAAGCAAAAAGTGAGTCTCATTCCCACATAGCAAGAACTGGTCCTCTCCTCATCTAAATGTGTTTGGAATAACATTTACAATTTGCATTATCCATGAATGCCTGCATCTACTTAATGCTTAATATTTCCAGACAATACACTTGAAGACATAAAATGTTATATTTTTGGAACACATGACTGAAGCCAACAGAAGAAAATGCTCCTATACAGTAGTTGTAGGAAATTGTGGGTTCATAATATTGTATCTTGTGGCGTCAAGTTATGACCTTAGTTTTCAGCATATCTCGAACTTTGTATAACTGATCACTCCCCTTTTGTCTCTGACAGGATCATGGTGCTGGCCATTGTGAGTTAAAAGTTCATGTTCAGCCTAATCGCTGCATAATTCTGGAATCTGTCCAGGCCCCAGGGCAAACAGTGGTTTTCAATCTCCAAGGCATAGTAGCTGATGATACTACAGGCTATGCAGGATTGACAAAGGAATTTGTTGTTCATGTAAAGGTAAGGTAGGAGGAAGAGAATCAGGTGATACGATCAAATAACCTAAGCCTACAGTCAGTGAGCACATTTCAGATGATGAGAGATCCTCTAGGATCCACCCACTAGGTGGAGCTGAAGACTACATGTTCTGAAATCATATTCTGAGTTTTGCAAAAAAAAAAAAAAGTCCTTTGTTGTTTCTTCTGGTCCCACCTTACCCGGTCAAAAACAGACAAAAGCAGATGAGGTTGTATGCCAATGCCTGATATTTTACCAAGTTTGAGAATAAAACTGTTTAATTCACATTTTGTGTAGCCCTTCTCCTGCCTCCATTATTTGTAGATGGAAATAAAATTGATTTTTCTCAGAAGCTGTAATTTGTGAAAGTGCAGTCTCAGTTTTATTTTGGTGAGAACATGTTAGCTCTTCACATCACTTTCAAAAGTCATTTACTTGTGGCAAATAAATAGATAGAATCATAGAGATGGAAGAGACCTCATATAGTTGTTTCCAACTCTTCCATCCAGCTGTGCCACGTTTCATAAATACATGTGAAAAACAAACATGCCACTTTTCATTGACATAATGGAAGTTATGTGAGCTAGTGTGGTTTTGTGGAAAGAACTATGAACTGGAAAATCTTTAGGCATGTTTCAGCTCTCGTGCTTGGAAATGCTTTAAACCCAAATATCCTGTAATTATGGCTTAAATCCTATTACTAGTCACAATGAGAGTAGACCTTGAATCAATGGAAATATTGAACTTCCATTGATCCAGTGATTTACAATCTATGTAACTATGTTGTTGTTTATTCATTTAGTCACTTTCAACTCTTCGTGACCTCATGGACCAGCCCACGCCAGAGCTCCCTATCAGTCATCACCACCCCCAGCTCCTTCAAGGTCAAGACGGTCACTTCAAGGATACCATCCATCCATCTTGTCCTTGGTCAGCCCTCTTACTTCCATTTTCCCCAGCATCATTGTCTTCTCCAAGCTTTCCTGTCTTTTCATTATATGGCCAAAGTACTTCATCTTTGCCTCTAATATCTTTCCCTCCAGTGAGCCTGGAGTATGGACTGGTTGGATTTTCTTGTGGTCCAAGACACTCTCAGAATTTTCCTCCAACACCACAGTTCAAAAGCGTCTATCTTCCTTCGCTCATCCTTCCTTATGGTCCAGCTCTTATGCCTATAGGTTACTACAAGGAATACCATTGCTTTAACTATGCGTATCTTCATTGCCAGTGTAATGTCTCTACTCTTCATTATTTTATCAAGATTGATCATTGCTCTCCTCCCATGAAGTAAATGTCTTCTGATTTCCTGGCTGCAGTCTGTGTTTGCAGTAATCTTTGTGCCTAGAAATATAAAGTCTGGCACTACCTCCATGTTTTCTTTCTCTGTTAGCAAGTTACCAATCAGTCTGGTTGCCATAATCTTGGGTTTTTTTTAAATGTTTAACTGCAACTCAGCTTTTGCACTTTCTTCTTTCACCTTGGTTAGAAGGCTCCTCAGCTCCTTCTCGCTTTCAGCCATCAAAGTGGTATCATCTGCATATCTAAGGTTGTTAATGTTTCTTCCAACAATTTTAACTCCAGCCTTGGATTCGTCAAGCCCTGCATGTTGCATGATGTGTTCTGCATGCAAGTTGAATAGGTGGGGTGAGAGTATACAGCCCTGCTGTACTTCTTTCCCAATCTTGAACCAGTTTGTTGTTCCATGGTCCGTTCTAACTGTTGCTAGTTGGCCATTATACAGATTCCTCAGGAGACAGACAAGGTGGCTTGGTATCCCCATACCACTAACCATAGCCAAGAAAAATAACTAAACAGTAGACATGTGCAAAAAACATTGGAAGAGTCAGAAATCATAAAAAAAATCTGAAGTTTTGTAAGTTGGCCGCCATATGCGAAGCATTTGTGTGGCCCACACCAAATATTTTAGAATTGAAACTTACCCCATACTTTTTCGTTTTAGTTTTGTAAATCTTGGAAGGCTATCTATTTGAAAAGTTGGTCTGAATTTTTTTGAAAAAGGCTTCCCAACCAGAAATGCCAGAAACTATCTGTGTTTATGAAACATTAATGGGATCTTAAAATAGCTCTTTATATATCTTTGTATGAAATTAAAAAAACAACCATTCATTTTGCTGAAGTAAAAGACAGTTTTTATTCAGTTGAGTCATCTTCATGGAAACGTATGTGCGCTCTACTGCCTTCATCTTACAAGATAAAAAAATTCATTGGTTTCTTCTGGGTACCAAGGGTTATACAGTCATTATACCACTAAGAAGTGGGTAGGAGGCAGATGAGATGTAAAACAGAAAGTCTGAAAGGGAATATTATTTATTTGATTCTCTTTCTTGATTCCTAGGGGGTGTTCCACAATGGTGCTGTAATTCTGCTCACTACTAATTACTGTCAGTCCCTCTGCCTGAGACCTGATGGGAGCTGCAGTGGAGCAGGAAATCAATCTGATGACTCTTATTGGAGGATACATAAAATCAGCTCTGGAGTGTGTATGTTTGAAAACGCAAGAAAACCCAGAATGTTTCTAAGGATCAAAGCTGATCAGTGTGATGGAAGAGTAAGCAGATCTTGTTCATTCTTCTTTTAAATTGTGTAAACAGAGAGTAATCAGGTTGAGTCTTGAAGATATTTGTTTGCAACCATCCTGGTAGAAAAAATGACACAGTGACCATCTCCATTTAAGATACAGATTTTAAAAATTATGTATCCGTGCGTATGCTAGTCTTTATTGTACAATATGGAATGTCTATCCAAGAATAATTTTGATCAACAATGGGTTTGTTTGGATGTGTGTCTTCATGTCATTTCCATCCTATAGTGATCTTAAGACAAACCTATCAAGAGGTTTTATTGACAAGATTTGTTCAGAGGTGATTGGAGTTTGCCTTGCTCTTAGACAGATGGTGCATCTATACTGTAAAATGAATGCAGTTTGATATCACTTTTAATGCCATGGATCAATGATATGGAATCATGGGAATTTTAGTTTGTTGAAGCACCAACACTTTTTGGCAGAGAATGCTAAAGAACTTGTAAATTCCATAGCATTTGGCCATGACAATTTAAGTGGTGTCAAAATGCATTTATTAAACAGTGTACTATAGATGCATACTGAAAAACTATGACTTGCCAAAGATCACTCAATGACTTTTAGTAGCGGATCTGGGTTTTGTATTTTGATGAGACGCAAGCATTCATTGGCAGCAAAGGCTAAAGATCTTTTTAAAGCTGCAACTCCCATCATCATAATTTAAACTGATATCAAACTACATTGTTCTACAGCAGGGGTACTCAAACTTTTTAAACTGAGGGCCAGGTCACAGTCCCTCAAACTGTTGGAGGGCCGGATTATAATTTGAAAAAAACATGAATGAATTCCTATGCACACTGCACATATCTTAATTGTAGCACAAAAGACACTTTAAAACAATACAATAATTAAAATGAAGAACAATTTTAACAAATATAAACTTATTAGTATTGAGAAGCGAGAAGTGTGGGTTTACTTTTGGCTGATGAGATAGAATTGTTGTTGTTGTTGTTGTTGTGTGCTTTCAAGTCATTTCAGACTTAGGTTGACCCTGACGAGGGCCGGGTAAATGACCTTGGAGGGCCGCATCCGGTCCCCGGGCCTTAGTTTGAGGACCCCTGTTCTACAGTATAGATGCACCCTAGGAATTGGAAGGATAGATTTAATGGAAAGACACAAGATTCTGAAGTCTAAAGCTACATCATTTAATACTAAAGTTAGGATTGTACATTTCTATGTGTGGATGTGAAAGACAGAGAAAACTGGCAGGAATAAAATCATCTTTTTTGAAATGTGGTGCTTGAGATTACTATTATAGATACTGCAGAGCATCTATAGGATTCTATAGATATAGGAGTTTCTCTAGGACCCAATTCATTGGGTCTTAGAGAAACTTACGAGTCAACTTAGAGAAATTTAAGAGTCAATGGGGGATGCCTGTCTCGAGAGCAGTACGTGTGAAAAAGATCTTGGAGTCCTCGTGGACGACAAGTTAAACATGAGCCAACAATGTGATGTGGCGGCAAAAAAAGCCAATGGGATTTTGGCCTGCATCAATAGGAGCATAGTGTCTAGATCTAGGGAAGTAATGCTACCCCTCTATTCCTGCTTTGGTTAGACCACACCTGGAATACTGTGTCCAATTCTGGGCACCACAATTCAAGAGAGATATTGACAAGCTGGAATGTGTCCAGAGGAGCGACTAAAATGATCAAGGGTCTGGAGAACAAGCGGCTTAAGGAGCTGGGCATGTTTAGCCTGAAGAAGAGAAGGCTGAGAGTGGATATGATAGCCATGTATAAATATGTGAGAGGAAGCCACAGGGAGGAGGGAGCAAGCTTGTTTTCTGCTTCCTTGGAGACTAGGACGCGGAACAATGGCTTCAAACTACAAGAGAGATTCCATCTGAACATGAGGAAGAACTTCCTGACTGTGAGAGCCGTTCAGCAGTGGAACTCTCTGCCCCAGAGTGTGGTGGAGGCTCCTTCTTTGGAAGCTTTTAAACAGAGGCTGGATGGCCATCTGTCAGGGGTGATTTGAATGCAATATTCCTGCTTCTTGGCAGGGGGTTGGACTGGATGGCCCATGAGGTCTCTTCCAACTCTTTGATTCTATGATTCTATGAACTCTCCTTAGAAGCCATGATTACTATACTGAGATGGTCATTCTTTGGCTTTATCATGAGAAGACATGCTTCACTTGAAATGCCAACAATGCTTGTAAGGTGTGAAGCACTAGGAAAAGAAGAACACATTGCAGATGGTTAGACTCAAGAAAAGAAACCAGGGCCTTTGATCTGCAAGGACTGAAGAGGTCTGTTGATGATAAAATGACTTGACTGTCTTTCATTCATAGGGTTGGTATAAGTCAAAGTTGACTTGATGGTAGTTAACAGCAACCAATTTTAATGCTAATGGAAAAAATGTTCTCTTTAATGCCTGTATTTTATTATTAATAGCATAGCAAATATCTCAGAATCTTAGCCTTGGTAGAACAATGATAGAGTGATAGCTGAATGAACTGGTATTATCCCAGAGAACCATCAGGGGACTTCTTTCCAAGGAAGCTGCAACCAGTTCTACTGAAATATTCTGTTTGTAAATTAACACTGTGTTGTATAGTATACAGATGTATCAAACTGGAGATGTTTGAACAAAATTGTACTTCTGATTTATCTCTTCATAGACTGAACCTTTTCATGTAGCCATGATAGGTTTAGTAGTCATCAGCCTATTGCATCTTTTCCATACATAGTTACCATCACATGAAAACTTCGATTACCAGGGTCTGTTTTCTCTTTTGGAAGTTATTTCAGGAAAACCAGATTTCATTTGCTTTGAATGATTTCTTGATTTTTTTTTCTGTGACAATGGTTCTTGCATTGCATTTCCAGACTGAAAACTGGAGACATTTCCCATACCTTTAATGGTTGTGTGGAAGAGGGAATTTCAATATATACTGCTTGTTATCTGTTTCCTTGACAAACTACATTTGCAGAAATTCTCTCTCCTATACATTAAAGATAGAGCTGTCTCCGGTTTTCAATCTGGCATTTCCATTAAATTAAGTAGCTGACATGTTTATGTGCATTTGTTCACATTTGGTTTTACATATATCAGAGTCAAGCAGTTTCAAGAAAATTCTCCTTTCACAGGCATCCCTATATAGTGTCTATAAAACATTTATTGTACTGATACCAGGGATCAGTACAATTTGGAACAGAAAAACCATGTATATTTCTTTACTAAAAATTAACCAGATCATTTCACCAAGTGCAAAAGATTTCCCTTCTGTGCCTTTCATTTCATCAAGAATTCCCAAGCAACAAGAAACCAGATGTTGTACCTGGAAAGGCACACACAACATTCTTTCCATCTCTAACTTATAGGGTGGCTTCTTTTAATTAAACATCTTTATAAGTTGAAACATGCTTAGTTTCTTTTGTATTTATTTTATGCAACCATAGATACAGAAACATATGTATTCCTCAGGGAAAAGCAGACATGTCAATTTCTGGGCAGTTTATTTTCATCTTATTATATCACATAGAAATATAACCATCTTGAACAATATGCATTTATAGCCTATCTATACATCTCTAAAAAGGCATCTGTAAATACATAAGTATTTAGTCATCATGAACATTGTTAGATCTAAAAGAAAATTAAGCAGGCACCCTTTACAATAAAAATGGGACAAATATTTAATTATTCTAACCTAGGGTCCTCCCAGATAGGGCCCAAAATGTGGGCCCTGCCGGACTTTTACCTGAAGTGTCCAAATGACACCTCAGATAAAAGTGAATTAATTTGGGACAAAGCAGGAAAACCCTGCTTTATCCCGAATTAATTAGATACCCCATTAGACCAGGGCCTTCCTAAAAGACCTGGAACTAATGGGGTATTGGGCCTGTGGGGATTGTCTCTGGGGGGCCAGTCTCCCCATCCATCTCACATCTTTTGATTTCCTGGAGCCCAGAGGTGTGAAATGGTTCCTGCCCCTTCCCACCCCCCTCCCAAAGCCTAAAAAGAAAAGAAAAACTTACCTGGCCGCCATACCCCAATTCCGGCAGCTCTCCTGGGTGAAATAAACTGTTCAGAGCTGTTCAAACTGTTCAAAGCAATTCAAACACCATACAGTTTAAACAATCCAAAGACTTGCTGGCTCATTCTTAAAAAATTCCTGCATCAAAAGCTGGAGTCTTTGGTTGCCTGTGATCCTAATTGTATCTGTCATTACCCCTGCTATGAGGTTGTTATGGATCATATCAACTTCCATCTCATTGTGTTGTTGGACATGCAGGTATTCTTATTCCTTATTTACATTTGAGTAGATGTTTTGTCTAGACTTAGACTGCTGCTAGGTTCTCAATGCACACATTCTAATCCACCTAGATTTCTGTACTATATCTTATAACATATATACTATATTCTATAAGACACACTCTGTGCTTCATAGGTATACTCTGGGCTTCATAGTTGGCAAACCAAACAAGCCTGGTGTGCAACAAAGGGCTTGTTTACACTGCTCACATAACCTGGCTTTGACCAAAAGTTGGTTCTGGACATCCTGATTATGTCCAGAGATGTCTGGTTCATAACTAAGGGTAAAACCATTTATTCCAATTGTAGCCCACATTAGGAAAAGTCAGAGAATGCTCCAGAGCTTTCTTGAAGCTTTGGAGCAGCCTCACAGTTTAGGGTGTATGTATCTGAACAGCTGGGCCTGTTCTGATTCAGAACTATTTCCATTGTTTTTGTGGGCCAGTGCTGCCATCCTATTTTTCCTATGCTCCTCAGCACAGGGAGAAGGGGATAGCACTTATCTGTGACCTTTTTTGTTGCTGCAGTGGTGGCTATGGAGCTCCAGAGACCTCTTGGTCATTGCTCCACATCTTTGCCAATGTTGGCAAAGATGCCCACACAACTTGGAAAGAAGACAAAAATGACAAAGGTAAGTGTGACCATCCAGTTGGGCTGAACAAGATTCAGCCTAACTGGACAGTAAAGATTCTATGCCCCCTGGTGCCATACTTTGCAAACGGTTTGGTGTAAACAACACCATGGCAGCATATGGGATGTTTCAAAGCAGCAATAATTCACATTAGTTCTGGATTTTGTGACCCTTGTAGATGGCCCAACATGTTCTTGTAGAACAAAATATGTGTCACCCTCCTCCTATCATCATCTTGTGAAGAGCTGTGCAGCCTCTGTATTTCAGGTATTTGTCCACTTCAGGAGTAAAAATATATCTATGACGTGCATTGAACTAGAAAACAACAAATTGCTTTTAAAAATAAAAGACTAGTATAGGAGTCATTTATCTCAAAACTGCATCAACATATCTTTGCTAAATTAGAGGACTGAACTTAACACACCGTTTTTCTTTTTACAAAATCTTGTGGGGGAGAATGGGGTGTTTGCCTGTGAAGTAGGTTAAATGTTTCTTAAACTGCTCTGAATCATGCAAGATGATTCATATAGCTGGAATATTTGGTATCAGTATAACAAACTTCCTACTTCCACAGTGGCTTGAGTGCATTGCTGAAGTATCTACATGGCTTAGGATGGACTTGAATTGTCTTCAGGTTTCACCTATCAAAGCGAGGTTTGATGTTTGACTCATGTGTCTTTGTAATTCTTTTTCTTTACAACTTTATGGCTGTTCTATTCCAACAATGTTCCCAGACAGTTTGTAGCTTGCTTCTGTCAGCTTTTTTGTTAGCATCTCAAGAGCCTGTTTCCCCAGGTGAGTACTCAGAGGAATAGGGTAATCTTGCCAGTTGCCTGTCTGTGAGGCTGCTGAAGTCCTTCTTCAGGCATATCTCTTCAGGCTTCTTACAAAATAAGTCGGACTGACTTTTTTGTGTAGGGTAAAGGGAGTATACACTTCTAGTATTGTGTTTTTAAAATCTTCAAGTGCAAATAAAATCCAAATTATCTTTAAGGAAAAGGAATTGAGGTAAGCAGATGTGCATCTCTATAACAATGCACTTCCAACTTGTTTGAAAGTACACAAATGTTCATATAACAGCATATTTGTCTCCAAAACAGCCAGGCACACTGAAAACAGCTTTTCTGTATGAAATTCCTTTGCTGGATTAGGCCTAAGGATATGCAAATGAGACCTTTATACATTATATTGCTTTAAAAAAATTGAACATAAAGTTTTACTGAGATGCTACATATTCAGCTATAGTTATATGAAAATGCTTCTTACCTACAGGGCACCGGTGATGTAGACTGCCATTTTATAATAGAGAAGAATTTAGAAAGTGGATCAATAAGCCTGGAATCTGCACGAAACAGAGGGATATATGTTGGTCTCCTATCTAATGGTCACACCAAACCAGTTGTAAATACTGGAGAAAGCAACATTTTGTTTTATCCACAAGTGGTCAAATGTAAGTATTAGCCTATCAAATTATTATTCATTGTATCAAAATTATGAACATTTTTCTTAAAATATTGCATGCAGTATCTCTAGAAAGATATTTTAGAAAAGATAAAAATAGCAAGAACAAAAAAGAAACAGATCTGCAGTCACTATTCTAAAGGCTTTTTATAACTATATGGTCATTTAGTGTAATTGAATTGTTTTACCCTTTTTTTCCTAATCTGCAAAAGTCCAAAAGCAATTTACAAAAATTCAGACAATATTAAATTTAATAACATATTCACTAAAACTATAAATCTTTCTGAAAATAATCTAAAGTATAAATGACATGGAGAAAGCAAAATCGCCACAGCAGTAGACGCAGGGTGCTTCCAGACAGCACTAAATTGTGAGTTTTAAACAGGAGCAAAAAATCCTAGGACTTCAGAAGAGGTCCATATACAGACCTGTTGGTCCCGGGATTTCTGCCTCCATTGTCCAGACTTTATGCTTTGTTGCGAGATTTAGAAGCTCCAAAGATGGCTGATGCGGGACTTCCACCAGAAACTTTGGCAGTTTTTTTTTAAAAAAAACACACACCTCAAGATGTGGATATGTGGATATGCAAAGAATCACTGCAGGAAGTCACTGCAAAAGTTCCGTTCTTTGTTCTGGCCAGGGAAACTGTGCCCTCCAGACGTTTCTTGAAGTATCTGCCACACAAACAAAGTGTACAGGGTGGGACCAGTTCCGCCTAAGTCAGAACTACACAATCAAACAGGAGCACACACTTTCAAGCCAGGAACAGAACTTTGTCATTATTGACACTTTTTAGAGCCTGGCTGCCTGACCATCTGTCCAGAGAGATTTGGTTGTGTACTTCTGACATCAAACAACAGGATGCTGTTCCTGGGATATACATGGCTCTTCATGATTGCTCTTCTTGTGAAAAGATGTACAACATTGACTAGGGGGCCACAACTTTGTCAAGAATGTTGAGTATCCCAACCTTGTCCATATCCTTAGGACAGAAGCACCAAAACTGATTCAGTAAAATGGAGGAATACAGTTCTCTGTCCAACTACTGAAACAGGTATACTACAATAGCAAAAGTAAGGTTCTAGCAGAAAGTATTCTTCCCTCAAAATGTCAAAGACATCAAAACATTTATTTCGGTCATTGACCAGCACAAGTCAAAGACATAAATCACAGCTGGCAATAGAAAGTCCAACCACCTCTTTTGAACTAGTTCAGCCAAAGCTGAATCAAAAACATGTAACTTAGGCTTGTCCATCCTGTGGCTCATGTGTAGCCCAGGATGGCTCTGAATGTGTCCCAACACAACCTTGTAAATTTACTCAAAACATTATGAGATTTTTGGGCAATTTTTGGTAACTCAATTATGAGATTCTTGGGTGTGAACCTTGTCGATGGTAACAGAATGGAATAGAATTATCAGAGTATGGTATATCCCCAAATATCAGGGTATTACCTGTCATTCACATTATAATTGCAAACAATTCAGCTAGAAGAAGCAAAAAAACACACCCTGTTTAAATTAACTAATAAAATAAAAAACAAGAGGACTCTGGCGCCTTCTACACTGCTATATAAACCAGATTATCAAATCAGATAATCCATATTATCTGATTTGAACTGAATTATATGAGTCTATACTGTCATATAATCCAATTCAAAGCAGATATTTATTTATTTATTTACTTACTTACTTACTTACTTACTTTATTTGTATATCTCCCCTCTCAGCCTTGCAGCGACTTGGGGTGGTTTACAAGGCAAAATTCAATGCCACAAAATACAAGATAATCTGGATTTTATATGGCAGTGTGGAAGGGGCCTTAGTTGCAATGTCATCCATCAGCTATAATTAGTGTTATTGTATTTTATATGTGGCCCAAGATGATTCTTCTTCCAAAATAAATACATATGTATATACAAATACATATGTACATAAAACGGATTAATTTGTGGACAAAAAGTACATTTTGGAGGATAATTAAAATATGAAAATGGACTGTCTGCATTTTTATGTTAGGGGAATATTTTTCAAAATGAATACTTTGAAAAAATAATATGCATTTCAAAGCTGCTGTAGCAAAAGTGGCATTATGTTAGCTTTTATGTTTTACAATAATAATATGAATTCTATAGCTAACATATATAGCTAAATCTATAGCCCCACACCATTGGAGAAATTATACTGTTTATCTAGGATTGCATCACTTAATATCCATCAGGAAGTAGCAGCCTGTTATGAAAGGACAATAGCAGTGACATCTCCGTCCCATCCTCTATTTGGATATTAGCAAGCATGCCAATAGCTTAAATCGAGAAACAGCTTCCTAAGATCAAGAGAGATACTTGCAAGTACACCTCAGCAAGCGAGAATCCAAAAATGGCAGGTTAAAACCCAGCACCTTAATCAGTGGCTGAGACTGGATGAGAAACTCCCTCCTGAGCACACAGAAGATTGGGTGTCCTGGAAGGTGCTGAACAGACTGTGTTCTGGCCCCAGAAATGGGGCTCCAAAATGGAGTCCCCGACATGCAAGTGAGGAGAAGAGGAAACCGCAGACCACCTACTACAATGCAACCTGGGCCCTGCCACGTGCACAATGGAGGACCTTCTCACAGTGACACCAGAGGCACTTCAAGTGGCCAGATTCTGGTCAAAGGACATTTAGCATAATGCCAAGTATTTTTAAACTTAGTTTGTGTTTTTAAATGCATTTTAATTGTATTCTCAACTTGCTTCTGACAAGATAAATAAAAATATAGCTAATGTAACAAAAGGGTGTGTGTATATATATATATTAATATGAACATAAATTGTATTATTTTTATTATAGTGATTGGTAATGGTGGTTTTTAGTATCAATAAGCTTACAGGCTGTTAGCTTGTTTGATAGAATATGAACAGAAGGCATTGCTCGCTGTGCTGTGTTCACATTTAATTTTGGCTGAAGAAAGCTGCTGACTGTTCCTTAAAAAGAGAGAGAGAGTAGGAGGTAGAGTGATGTGGTAGAGGAGTATGCCTCAGGGATAAGTCACTTGAATGTGTAAATAAAAATGAATTAAATTTTATAAGTGCTAAAGTGAATTTATTACCATCCCATTTTGTGCTGGGAGATGCTGTGAGGAGCTTCAAAGTGCAAAAGTCAAGGGTGTGTATCTATAAAATACATATGAAAAAGAAGTGTGTGTATACGCACACACACACATAGGAAACTTGAAATGTTCATTGGCATCATGGGAAATTTCTAGAGATTTTTTTTTAAAAAAACTGACGATTTTTTGCCTTACGTTTTAGTTGGTAGAGAAAAACCAATGGGAACATCTGCACCTCCTGCCCAGCAGAAAGATATGATCAAAGAATCCAGACAGCACAAAACAGGTATGGAGAATCTTGTGTCTCACAAATAACTTAGTTCTCTTCTCTCATATAAGGGTCAATGTGGTTTTTTTTTAAACCAACAGGCACATTTTGTTTTGCTTCACTTTGGCGTATTAGAGGCTCTAGTCCAACTTGCCACTAATTTTCTCACCATTCAAAACTTCATAGTGAGTTATAGATGGTGTCATACACTTTGTGGCATTCAAAATCTTCAGGTTCATAGAATTAGAGAACTGGAAGAAAACCACAAGGGCCATCCTTGATAAAGTTCATAAAGCGGACTGTCCTCTTAACTGAAGAGAGAGTTCTATGAACATTGGAAAGGTTTGTTTGAGATATGGTAGGTCTATCCACTATTCTATATTGCGCATGAAGTGTACATGGTGCTTTTCCTTCATATGTTCACATGCATATTTTTGTAGTCATTTCCAATAATGTTATTCAAGTAACTTCCTCACTTTGTTTTCCTTTCACTCCAGACAACCATTTCAACTTCTTCCTCCCTATTATCTTTATTTATACTTTGATTTTTTTCTAAAAAAATAGCTTTCAAAAATAAATGCAACATAGTTTTTAAGAATACTAAATATCAACATTAGCATAGAATCAAACTATTAACAGCATTACAAATAATTCAAAACACACTATTACAATGGAAATAAATAAATAAAACAACACTGCATAATCTTAAAAGGCCTTCCCTCCAGTTTTCAAAGGTTTTCACATGCTGCTCAATGTGCAATTTGATGTAATAATTAATTTGACTTCTTGATCTAGGTTATGATACAACTGTAACATCTACTGACTCATTCATTAGATTGTGGTTTCATCTAATCTCAGGAAAGGTGCTGTCTGCAGTCAATGCCCCCCCTCAAATGCCCTCCACGGGACATCTCCTTGTTTAATTTAAATTGAAGAAAGACCTTTTTTTTTGAAACAAGAAATCAGCAGGAAGTGACTTACATCCATGTCCTGTTGTTAGTATAAGGCATCTCCTGAGCTTTGGGGTACTTCGAAGCATTTCTGTGGCAGAAGGGTACAGTAGGGGAGTTGTAGCTCCCTGAGGTTTTCTGGGGGCTAATGCAGTCTTCCAGAATTGACCACATTTGATCTAGTCCAATATTGTTTAATCTGTCAGTTTCCCATTGGGAAACTGTCCTTCTATGGTACAGCACATGATTTCCATGCAAATGGCCCAATCCCAGGTACCTTCAAACAGAAATGAGGAATATCCCTCTCTGTACTTTGGTTGTCAGTTGTCAAATAAGGTTGCAAACAAAAAAGAGATATATTTTAATCCTAGGGTTTGCAGTTAAGGGAGAGATATTTATAATTCTCAATCAGAAAGCTGCAGTGACTCAGAAAGTGACAAACACCAGGATTTCCTAGGAATCAGTCATGGCAATTAAAAGTGGAATCATAGTGCTATACACGTGCAGTGTGGAAAATGTACCTGGATATGCTAATCTACTTTGATCCTGCCTTTTGCATGCTCACAGAATTTTCTGTTCATTTGTGACTCTTAAAATATAAATATCCAAAGTGGTGGATTGCAAATAATGCAATTGTGATACTTTAGATTTCTTGTGTCTGCTGACTATTTTCACTCGCATCTTAGGGCACTTTCACACAAGCCCCAAATTTGTGCCAAAGTGGGTTTTAGAAACCCAGTTTGGCATGGATTTGCATCCCCATGCCAGCCACAAACCCCAGGCTTTACCGGGGAGGGTGGCTACATGCCTTTTTGATAACAACCGCGATGGCATGCAGCCACCCTGAAGCCCCCCCATATTTACCTGTTAATAGTAGAAAAACCCTACCTGGTCCCCATTATGTTCATGAGGAAACGATGCACCAGGAGATGGGGAGGGGAGTGGGCTTGAAGAGGAAAATCCTTCCTTGCTCCCCCCTGATATCCTGGAGTTTTCTCATGCCAGTAGGGTGCGAGGAGAAACATAATGGTGGCCAGGTATGTTTTCTTTACATTTAACAGGTAAATTTGGGATTTGGGGTGTCCTCTTGGTTTTTTTGTGCTCCTGGAGCCTGACCAACTGAAAGGGCTATGTGGATTGGACCCAGGCCAATCCACATAGGATCCACACCTGATAAGACTTGGATCTTACCATAAGATCTGAATCTTACCAGGTGTTCTATTAATTTGGAACAAAACTCTGGTTTGTTCCTAATTAAATCAGTTTTACTGGGGGAATTGTCTGGATGCTTCCGGTATAAACCAAGACAGGTCCCCGTTTTTGAACATGTCTGGATGGGCCCTTAGATACACTTTTCTCTTTAAGTTGACTGATTCAGAATACCAGTTACCATGAGTATCCATTTCAAGTGCCACAAAATTTTAAGAATTACAGTGAGACAGTGCTTTTATGGGAGCAACTCAGTGTGCAAAGCAACCTTTCATCACTTTTATTCAGGTATATGCATTTAAAGAAAAAAAAACTAACAGTGCAGTGCCTGTTGATATGAATCTGAAAGCCAACCATTCTTATGAATGAAAAAATGGTATCAGTATTAATTGGGTCTAGTCCAAAGATAAGGAGGAGTTAAACATTTCATCAAAAAATAGCACACCATTTTAGCTAGGAAGTGTGAAACAACAAGATGATAAAGCTTTTTACAAAAAAATAAGTTTTCAGTTATACATTTTAATCTAGGTTCATTATAACCAGAGACAAAAGGGGGGAAAGATTTTAGGAATAAGCCTGGTTTATACATCTATTTAGCCTCTGGAAGATTTTTTGTCATGGCGGATTTGCATCTTGATCCCCTGAAGTGTGACTAATCCAGGGTAACAATCAACTCCAGTTTTCAGAGTAGAACATTTTTAGCCTGTAGGAAAGAAATGTCTTCTGTTTACATGTCTACAAAGCATTATTTATAGAACAGAATTTCCAGGGCATTATTTGCTTATGGATTTTCTGAGGGAAGTTCATCATCTTGGCAGAACTTAGGTATTATCTGTCTACAGTTTGGCCACATTACCCATTGCCTTAGTTTTTCATCTCAATGAAAACATATTCTTCTTTTCCTTCCTTTTAATTCAACCTCACCACTTTGGTAGTAATCCATTTCACCCAGTGCTTCAGTGAGTTATTCCAGGATCCACCACTGACTTCACTGGACTGGCCACATTGTCTGAATGCCCAATCACTGTTTCCTAAAGCAGTTACTATACACTCAACTCAAGAACAGAAATTGAATCTTGGTGGTCAGGAAAAGAAATTTAAAGATAGGCTTAAAGCTAACCTTAAAAATTGTGGCATAGACACAGAGAACTAGGAAGCCCTGGCCCTCGAGCATTCCAACTGGAGGTCAGCTGCTATCAACAATGCTGTGGAATTCAAAGAGGCAAAAATTGAGGGCAAAAGGGGAAAATGTGTCAAGAGGAAGGTGCTTCAAGCCAACCCTGACGGGAACTGCCTGCCATCTGGAAACAAATGTCCTCACTATGGAATAACATTCAGGTCAAGAATAGGTATCTACAGTCACCTATGAACCCACTGCCAAGACCCTACACTTGGAAGGCAATCATATTTGGACACTGATGATGATATTGTCCCTTTTATAAAATACAAAACCCAAGTTTGCTTTTGAGAAGTAAATTTTTTTTCAAGTCATGCATAGTGGAACTCATTGATGTAGAATCCATGGGTATGGAGAGTTGACTATGCAGTCACATTTCCAGGGCAGTGATCTCACAGTGATATCCTTTTCCCATCCGACACAGAAGGTAGAAGAGGAGCCAGATCCAAGATCTAGCAGCCTTGCTTCAGGTGGTCTTGCATATCAGGTCCTAGCAGTCTCAGGGTTCATCTACACTATAGAACTAATGTAGTTTGACACTACTTTTACTGCCATTTTCAATGCTAGGAATCCTGGTAGCTTCATGAAGCATCAGTACTCTTTGGCTACCACTACCATGATTCACTTCTAACTAAACATCCTGCTATCTCCACCCTATTAACTAGTCATCACTGTTGGTTAAGATCAGATCTAAAATAATCAATTCCCTACTTATCTGTACTACATTTCTCCTTTCTTTTTCAGGAAGACATTATCCAAATCCTCCGTCTGGCTTGGGGCTCTGTAGCAAGCATTCACAATGATATCACTGCTGTTCCTTTCTTTTTAAAATTTTACTCAGATATTTTCAACCCATCTTTCAGGATTTAAGTCATAGATCTCTATACAGTGTAAACATAATAGATATGTGATGCCTCAACTCAAGAAAACCCAAAACTCCAGAGGTAGCAATGAGGTTATTAGAGTCGCCGTTGGCTGATATTTGCGGTATACAAAAGGAGTAAATAAATAATAAATAAATATTTATATTTCTCAAATTTATGCACCATATAAATGGGGGGAGAGGAGGAGAGCTTTTGTTCTGGAAGAACTGAAGAACTTTGCAACATTCGGTTTTCCATACAGAACTAGGTCTTCCACACTATAAATATTTAAAAGGTTCTTATAATTTATCACCTTTTTTGTGGCAGCAGAAAAGTGCTTATTCTAGTAGTTGAAATGCTGTCACACTTGAGGTAGAACAACACTTTGAGAGCTTCTGCTTTCCATTCCTCTCCACCCACTTTGCAATAGCACATTTCACAAAATTGCTATCAGTTTAATCTGCTACTCTTGACACCAACAGATTCTGAATCAGAAATTTCACACACACCCTCATTATTTGAGAATAAATGATTCAAGTAATCCATAATTAGGTTGCACGGGATTTAAAGCAAAGCATAATTATTTTGGTTTTACTGCATTTGTTTTCCCCTTGTTTAATGTTTCAATTTTCAAATATTTGCTTTTAGATTTCTTAGTGCACATCATTCAGAATACTATAGTCTTGATTTTAACACCATTACTTATTATTGTTATTTTGGGGGTGGGGGTGGGGGGGGGGGGGGGGGGGGGGGGGGGGGGGGGGGGGGGGGTTCTTATGCAAGTAATACTCAGGGTGCTTCCACACAGCCCGTTATTCCAGGAGCATCTGCATTAAAAAAGTGCAGATGTTCCTGGGCCCCTATCTACACTTCTCCCAAGACACTCTAACCCCTTTTTCAAAAGCCCCCCAAACCAGTGTAAAAAAAAACCCAAATAAGTTACCTGGCCTCCATTAGGGCTTCCGGAGCTCTCCTGGCGCCTACAAATGACATGCCAGGAGAGCTCCAGCAGCCCCCTAATGGAGGCCACGTAAGTTCTTTTGTTTTTTTACACTGATTTTGGGGGCTTTTGGAAAGGAGGTTGGTATTCTCACAGTTTTCCAGGTAAATTTAGCTTGGAAAACCATGGGAATACTCTCTGGACTGCAGTCCAAACACTGGAACTAGTGGGTTTGTCCTGCACCTTCCAAGAAGGTGTGGAATAAACACACTAATAAATTAATTCACCACAAACCTGGTACAGTTTTGCCAACTCCTTACTTCAGATACAGTTTTGCCAACTCCTTACTTCAAAATATAGCCTATAGCAGCAGGGCTTCCTTCACAGTCTCTCATACAAGTACTAACCAGGGTTGATCTTACTTAACTTCCAAAAAGCCGATGGAATGTTGTGCCTTTAGGGTATTTAAGTAAAAGTAAAGATTTCCCCTTGACATTAAGTCTAGTTGTGTCCAACTTTGGGGAGGGTGTTCATCTCCATTTCTAAGCCGAAGAGCTGCCGTTGTCCATAGATGCCTCCAAGATCATGTGGCTGGCATGACTGCATGGAGTACTGCTACTTTCCTACTGGATGGTACCTATTGATCTACTCATATTTGCATGTTTTTGAACTGCCGTGTTGGCAGAAGCAGGGGCTAACAGCGGAATCTCACCCTATGAATTTGAACTGCTGACCTTTCAGTCAGCAAGTTCAGCAGCTCTGCGGTTTAACCCACTGCGTCACATGGGCTCAAATAATTAATTGGTAAGATTTTCCAAAGGGAAATTTCATGGCTTAGATATTGAGACAGTAGACATACAATAGCTAGTATTTAATTTAGTGATTATTGAAAATTGATATTGTCTTAAGAATCAATGCTTACAGCAGGAATGTGAAGTTAATTGTCTCATTTATTTTATTTTTTTATTTTTTAAATATATGAGCTATAAATATACTGTTGATTTTTTTAAAATAAAAAATAGTACACCATTTTTTGAACTACATCACTCATTGTTTTCTCCCTAACTATGTTTGTGTTGAATATTTTTTTTCTTAAAGCAAATTTTCTGCCTTTGTTTTATGTATGCATCAATATTGCAGTTCCCTGTGGCAACTGTCACCTTTGATTTGTTTTTCATGGGACCAGTAGAAAATTTTCCAGTGTCCAAAGGCAAGCAAACTATATTGCTGCTGTTCCCCTTCCATTGCCACTGCCTCTTCTCACTCTTATCGATCATTTTCCCATTGCTGCTCTGAATTTCCCTAATGATCTCCAAGGCTGTTTCAGTCACAATGCCTTGCTCTGACACAAGATCCCTTCATAGTGAGACCTTTAAGCTGTACAGATTGCTCTGCAGACTACTTTCATAATGTGGCCAGTGGTCGCTGGCAACTCCTATGTCAAAGAGCAGTTGTGAATCTGCTCTGAATGTTATTCTAAACTTCCAAAAAGTTATTCAAGGTGTAGAACCTATTTGGGGAAGCAAGGCCAGCATTTTGCACAGCTCTTTAGAACTTCTGCCTGAGATGGAAAATAGATTCATCACCACATTCACATGGTTGTGAACTGCCAGGAAAGCAGGAATCCCCAATAATCATGTACACATGAAAGATTTTCAGTAAAATTATAGCTAGTTGACTTCTCCAGAAAAGTATTCTGATTTCTTGGTGATGTAATTGATTCAAACAGTTGGAAACAATTAGAAACCCCAGTTGGAATGGCTATTCTGAGACCCCTTAAGAGTTAGGCATCTTCATCTAGAGAACCATATCACATCATTTTGAACCCCCACATTGAAATAAGAAGATCAGATAGAGAAAATTGATCTAAAGAGCTATTTCTTGACTTATTTATTTCTAACTTCTGGAACCACCTGTGAATGAAAACACTATTAAGGTGAATGAACCTGTAAATAATTAACTCTTGCATTATTGGATTGGGTGTCACTCCCTCTGACCATCTCCTAGGATATACAAGCATAATAGATCCTGAAGGCCAATCAAATTTCTTTGGCTGCATCTCTCAGCAATCATCACTGGAAGGCTATTTTGCAGGCGCTCCCTTCCAAAGCTTACAGGTTTTCCAAAAGTAAGAACCCTCATTCCAGCCCTAAATGTAGCCCCTTGTTGCAGGCCCCCATACCCCAAAATGTATGGGAGTCACAAGACAAATGATGGAGGACCATTCGTGGTGCAGATCAGCTTTAAATAGCTTGCTAAACTGATCTAGTCATGTGATGAGCCAGCGAAGCCAGCTGGCCCCAACCAAATCTGACCTCCTTCAAGTGTCCACTGACTGCATATGGGTTTTCTACAAAGGAATGTTGGTGTTAAAAATATTTAGCTATGTGCTGATCTGTTTTCGAATGCCTAATTGTTGTGGACTGCTCTTCTGATTCTGAGAGAGAAGGAGGACAGGTGGATGAAGAAGCAGCACTTGGGGATTTGGGGCTAAGTGGTGAGGAGGAGGAGGAGGAGGAATAAGAAGAAGAAGAGGTGGCAGATATATCCCCATGCTTCAGGAACAACGAAAGGAGAAGTCAGAAGATCAGCTAGGTTAGCAGGGAAAACGCTGAGCAATCAGACCACGCCCTAGAGACAGCTGTGCTGGGATCTCAGGGCTATAAATCAGTAGCAAAATCATGGTCCCAGTGTTGACAGCAACTGACCTTCTTCAGGGGAGTTCCTCTTCCATACATTGTGTCTCCATTCTAGCATCAGTCCTTTCTGAAGGCTCTTGACTATTGACATTTGTTTCTGCAACCTGTAAGCTTCTTATAAAAGACACTAGTTTCTGTCTGATGTGAAGACTTTTGTTTTACGTTTGCTTGAAGACCATGCATTACCATTGGGACTGTATTTTCTGTTTCATTTATTGCATTATCTTTATTTTGGATGAAATAAACCTTTTTATTTATTTTCACTTGTGTCTAAGCTGTTTCTGGTGTAGAACTGGACACTAATAAACTAAGGACCTCATCAAATGGAGGAATTTCTGCGTTGTAGGACACTTCAGCCACTTTTCAAACACAGAGAGGCACGGAGACCATCACATGAAGATTAAGCACTTCCAGCCATCATGTGTAGCTTCCCCCATCCTGGAAAAGCAGCTGAAGTGATCCGTGAGGAGGGAGTTCTGAACATGGGCGAGCAATCATATCCTGATCTCCTAGTGTGCACAAGATCCATAGTACAAGCTGGAAAACATGTGGGATGGAAAGTGTCTAATTTGCCTGTCCCATTTTGTCATTGCATAGTGGTGTTTTGAGGGGCATTCAAATGGGCAGTCTTTTGGGGGTGTCTTAAGAATGGGGCTTCAGAAGGAAAGCATTCCATAGAGGTGTCTTAAGAACAGGGCTTGGGAAGGAAAGGGGCTCATAGAAGTGTCTAAAGAATGGGGCTTGGGAAGGAAAGGGGCTCATAGAAGTATCTAAAGAATGGGGCTTGGGAAGGAAAGCAGCCCATAGAAGTGGTGCCTTAAGGTTAAGTAAATTCTTAATCTTCTTTAGAGAGATTCTCCCTGTAAAAAAAGATGGAGTGGGTGTAGAAAAGGCTACCTGTGTGATGATTCAGAACCCAGGCAACAATGGGTGTGTGTGTGGGGGGGGGGGGAGACACTGAAGAGGCAAACATGTGTCATGGAAAGACAGAACTTGAAATGGGATGGTTCGCGATCAAAAGGGATGACTGCCTTTGCTAGACATATGGCCAACTATGCTTCTCAATGTCCATGTGATAACTGACAAAAGTTGGGAACTGACAAAAGTTGGCATCTTCCCAGAGGCTCCATTGTTTGCTGAGTTCTGTTGTTCATGTTTTGTGCCCAGGGTCATCAACCTGATGTTATGGCTTCATAAAGTACCAAAAGTGTAACCATGTAGCTCTGAGGTTCTATAAAATACTTGGAATAAATGTTATCTATGTTGACCAATGCTGTAAATAGCTTGGATGAATACAGTGCTAGGCTTAATAGTTCGTTTGGCCAAAGGTATTGTATCCCACCTATAGGGTGGATATTTTAGTCCTACCCAACAGAGAGACCAACCATGGGACTTTACAGAGGTACAAAAACCAACCCTGTACTGTTTTGTGAGAGGTCTTCAGACCTAATGAAAGAGAGGTGGTTCTTCAGCTCTCAAGGACCTGAGGTAGTCAATGTCATGCTGGAACACTCACCACAGCATGATAACAATTCAAGTGCTCTTCCAAGCACTCACTCACCCTAATGCCTTGCTCTGATGAGTCCTTTAAGGTAATAACAGAAAGGACTGATAATCTTCCTGGAGGTACAAAATGAACCAATCCCATCTGATCCAATATAGCAGTGACATCAGTTACAGAACATTTCTCTCTGCAAGAGATGTGGACTCATGAGATTCCTGATTGACTATTGACATTTTGTACCTTACAGGGGGAATGACAAGTGTTCAAAAGAGTGAGTTGCCCTTTCCTTCAGATGAAAAATGGAAAGTATCAGTATTAACAGGAAATTCAGGAACTCAAGCAAATGTCACTCTGTGGATATATGGAGACAAAGGATTTGCTGGTCCCATAACTCTTAACAAGGAAAACAGAGAGCAGCTGTTTCTACCCAGGACTGAAGATGCATTTCAGGTAGCTAAAGAAATCTAACGATATTATTTTGCTGCATAATTTTCCTTCTGCAAGATCTTTTCTCTTGTGGTAGGGACCCCCACCCCTTTGTTTACTGCATCAGATAAATCTGTCTAATGTGTTTGGATCCAACATTAAATCATCTAAGCAGATATAGCAAATGGCAAAGGGAATTCTCTTTTCTGCCATATCTATGAAAGCAGGGGCGTTTGGAAACACAAATTCTTTTCTTTAAAACAGTTAGTTATAGGCAATTGGTTGGAAGCTTCTCTTCAAAACAATGTATTATGTGCAAATCATAGATAATGAAAGGAATGTACCTTAACTAATGAAAACCATATATCACTTACAGAGGGAATTTGGGCTATGAAATGTCATCTTGCATACACTTTGTTGGGATTCTTCATGGCTGGGTCTGTGACAAGTCAAAACATGGGTCTTTTCTGACAAGTGCTGGATACAGTGTGCATCTAGCAGGGTCATTTCACTCCAGCAGAATGAGGAACTTTCAAAACCATGAACACTCAAATGCTGTTACAGAGAAACAAGCACCCCTTTTACTCAGGGTTTTGGGCTTTTCAGAGGGCTATGGGGAAGAGAAAGGAAGAAGATCCTGGGTTGTCATGTGGAGGTCCAGGTGTCGTGATGACCAACATGACATATGAAATTCTGTCCCCCTTTCTCTGGAAACTGCTTTTCCCCATCCTGTGGTTGTTGCGTCTTTTATGGACTTTGTAATTCATGTTAGATACACACACACACACACACACATGTTTGTGTGTGTTTGTGTGTGACACAAGACATTTTAAATAGATCACACTAGTTTGCATATTACTTTCCTTTGAATTCTGCACTGAAATCAGTGGTAGTTATGGCATGGTTTCGACGTTGGAATGCCCTCCTGAAAGAGATCAGGTTAGCCCCCACTCTTCAAGCTTACCAGACACAGTTGAAAACATGGTTTTTGAACAAGCCTTTGGACCAGGATTAGGACCTTGATCACTAAACCCGAGGACCTAGTGACTGATTCATGTTAGCACTTTATGGACTAAGACAGTACACAGCCTATTTATAAATGCATCTTTACTGCATTGTTGGATTTTAAATCAGTAGGGTCATATGTTCTTTTATGCAATCATTGTTTTATAAACCTACTTTGTTATTGTTTTATAAGTTATGTATTTTGTCGTATTTTGTGTCTTACTGCACCATTGTGTGCTTTTTATGAGCCACTCCGAGTCCCTTTGGGGAGATGGTCGCGGGGTGTAAATGAAGATTATTATTATTATTATTATTATTATTATTATTATTATTATTATGCCTGCCCACCCTACCCAGGAGGCTGTGGGAATGGCTGTAGCCTCAGTTACTTAGCCACCAAGTGGTAAACACACAAACAAAAAAACCTGAGGTGTGACAATAGCAGAGAGGATGGGCGGGAATATGCGATTTTCACGATGACCATTTAAAGAAACACAATTACAGATAAGCAACTATTCCTTCCAAAGGGAGTGGGGCCATGCCACAACAATCTGCCTCCACAATTTGTATATACGGTATAATTGTCTGCTAACAGGAAGCTTCCACACATTCATGTAAACTTATAGGGTTTCCATACAAATCTCAATGAGATCATCAGCTTGTTCAATAAAACAAGTAATGAAATGCCAAACAGGGCTAAACACTTTCATTCAGGACCTCATCACATGGAGGTACAGAAGCCTGAGAGCAGTGGGGGACAGTGGGGGAACCCTGGAGCAGTGTCCAGCTCTCCCATGACTTTTCCGTGCAGTTCTTGACTTCCTCCCATGCTGTCCCCAGCTTCTTCATTGAAGAGATGGCTAGTCATCCATCTCCTCAAGGCCTCCTCTTTGCGTGCTGCTAACGCACTGCCAGCATGTTGCCTTGACAGAGCCCAATGGAGCCCTGCCAGAAGTAGACCCGCATCATATGATGGTCTCCAGTGAACTCTGTTGGAGCAGCATGCCAGCAGCGAGCTAGGACAGGGGAAAAACGCATCTGATGAGGTGGTCAAACTCAGGATAATGGACTTAAAACAACCTGATAGTGCTGAAAGTGGCAGATATGTGTTATATAGACTGTTACATTGCATACCTTAATGCATTTTATATAGCATAAGCTATTATGATGGGCATTGTGGAGACTTTCACTTTTGAAACCTCGGTATAAAGATCTCTGGGATTTCCTCTCTCTTTGCAAGTAAATAATTGATAACTGGTGTAGGTAATAGCTTGTCCGTAATATTACCTTTCCCCCTACATGTGCATTCAGTACAATACAAGTCTATTGACCTTCAACAAATCAGACATTCTTTAGCAGAGTATGTTTGAAACATATTGATCTGATGAAAAAGAATTACCTGTATGCCAGAATTCTGGATGTTCAAATTCTTCATGGATACCTGATTTGGTTTTAGAGCTAATATAATCAATAAAGTATCAAACAGACACAAAATAATGGTCATGTAATCAAGACGGGATTTGATGGTATCTTTTTTTTTACTGTGAATATTGCAAGTTTTGAAACACTGAACTTTTTAATTATAGAACTGGATTTTCTGCAGTCTTCCATCTGATTTACTGCCATCCATGATCAGACTGGTGAGATATCTGAATTAGTCTTTTAAAATTACTGGCATCCACATTCCCGTCAATATCATCTGTAGGAACCAGAGAAGTCAGTGAGGGAGCCAGAGCCTCACATCTTTTTTCTCACATCAAATCATAGCCTAAATCAGGGGTCCTCATGTTTGCAAATGTTGCAAAGTTTTGTGCAGCAGCATACAAAATCTGTCAGGGGATGACTAGCCCCAAAAGTTAACTGTATATCCAGTAATCATCTTTCTTGAATCTATAATTTGCTATTAGACCTGTGCATTATATGTTTTATATAATTATATTTATATTTTTAATGTACTAAACGTACCACGTTTATATGAAACTGTGACTTTTATTTCCTGTGCTGGTCTATGACTGAAATAAATGATTTGATTTGATTAACACACATACACACAAAGCACATTGGGATTACAGTGAGAAAGAAGGGAAAGAAGAAAGAAAAGTGAGAAAGAAAAGAGCACAAGAGTAAATCAAGCCAACAAAGCATGGGAGGATGCTTCTGTGAGAAAAAAATACTAGCCAAGAATTAATCAAGTCAGAAAACTGATCATAAAGTTAAAGAATTCAGGAATTTGCATGCTTCGGAGGAGAATGAAAGAATTTTTCCAATTTTAAAAGTTATTAAGACCTCAACATCTTTGTGACTTTTGACCCACCCTGTATATAATGAACTTGAGGGATAACATAAACCTCACTTTTATCATTTGTAACTGATGAAACCAATGAATATAAGCAGAGGAAAGAAGCAGATTTGTGTAATAGCAAATCATAGCTTTGCAATACATGTGAACCAGTGAGCTGCCATAAAGGAAATGTGTATTTTCTAAATGCCATGGAGAAGAATATAGACACATAGGTGTATATGGATGCGGCGTTGACATATCTTTAGCAGTGCAATAAGCAATGTTTTGTAACCAATGAAACAAAATGGATTAAATACATGCCTAAATAAATAAATGAATAAATAAATGGGCTAAGTGGATGGTGGAACCATGGGGATTTTTAGAGGAGCTGAGAGGAAAGCTACTCACAAAAGCTCTTTGAGATACAAAGCAGAGATGAGCGATTGAACTGTAATAGGAAGAGAAAGAAAACATGACAGAGGAGCCTGCCACTAGCTTTTTATTCAGAAGAGCAATCATTTGAGAAATAATCTGACAGATCTGCTTTTTTAAGTGTTTGAGAATCTCTTCTTGTAGTGCAATATACAATACATAAAATGATTTATTGTCAGGTTTCATAATGGCAGTTTAGCTTCAAAAACCTGTGACAAATCGAAAGCAGTTGGAACAGAAAGGGTGTCTTTTGTACTTAGCACATCAAAAATGCTTTGCAAACTATGAACAAACCCTCCATAATCAAAATGTTAAGAATTAATCAGCAATATTTTCTCCTAGGGTTATAAATGTACCTTTGCTTGCATATTTATTTCCTTGATTGCTGGAGAGCATCTAGTGGGAAAAGTTCTAACTGTAGCCACCTAGTCTGTCCCTGGACTGCATGGGCACTGGACTATATGGTCTTCTTGGCCTAAATTCAGTTTTGGTCCCAAATAAACTAGACCCATTGAATCAATGTTGGTTAATGAACATCCTGTGTGTTGTGTGACCAAAGGCTTTTGAAAGTCACGTAGAACCCAGTAACTGCAGTGAATATATTTAGCTTTATTCAAACTTCACATATTAATGCATCAAGTAATAATAGGCAATAACACACAGAGTTGGATTAACTATTAAGCAAAGCAGCATGTTTTAGGGCATAAAGAGAAGAAAAATGTACATTGCCGAATTACCATGGGCCATGTGGTATAAAACTATAAATGGAGCAGCTGAGTCAGACACCACAAAAAGAAGCTCCAATAATAATAATAATAATAATAATAATAATAATAATAATCCTTTGCAATTACATAAAATAGGAGATTGTTTTGCAAAACTAAATGAAGTGGAAATATACAAAAATATTTTCCATTTTACTGTTTGTTTTATTTCATTTTGAAAAATAAAATATTACATTTGTATATTGTTTATATTTTGAATTACCGTATTTACTCAAGTATCAAATAGAATGTGTTCCTCAGTTTTGAAGGTGCCCATTACACAAAATGGATTTGCTCCAAAATATAATGTATCCAACAGCACAAGCATAGCATGCCAGGGAGGTAGACAGCATGCATGAGGCCATCTGAGAATCCATGTCCCTCCGTCAGGCCAAGGCTGGTGAACTCATCAGCCTTGCACAATTCCCAAGGCTCATTTGAAACTAAGGAGGAGATTTTGAAGGCCTCAGAGGCCAGTTGAAAACCATATGGGAGACAGAATCTGCAGATAAACAGCCGCAATTAAGTACACCAGCCAGGAGCTCCTTCTCCAGGTGTCGTAGAGCCCCAAGACTGCCACCTCCCTGACCAGACTCCAGGGTTGCAGGTTCCTTGAAGTCTTTTCATATAGGTTAGTTTATTTGTGTGATTCTTATGCACTATCAAATCTAATGCACACCTCAATTTTGGAAATGTAATTTAGCAAAAAAAAAAAAAGGTGATCATTAGACTCAGGTAAATAGGATATATATTTCATGGGAACATCAAAACATTCCCCTCCTTCCCAGCAGATAGACTGATGGGAAAATAACAGAAAAGTGAGTAATCTCAATATTGAATGGTTCTCTGTGTGTTTACAGAATGGTTAGATTTACTATAGTAAGAATTGACCCTTGTTCCTGTGTTGTATCTGCCTTTGTGACTTACAATACAGGTTGAAATCAAATCCATTGGAAAGATCTACAAAATCAGAATAGGACATGATGCAACAAGCAAACAGCCAGAATGGATGTTGGAGAAGGTTAGCTTTCATCTTGTTTATTTTCTTGTTCTTATATTTAGTTAATTACTTATTGCATTGTGTGTGTTTTAAAGCCCTAAGTAGAAACTATTAGACTAATCATCCTGAAAGCATCTTTGTTAACACTTATTATCCATAAAGTAAAATAGACACATTTTCTCTGTAAGGAGCAGATCTTTTTAAACAGCCTAACCTTACTTGTTAAGTGCAATATTTACTCTGCTCTAAATCTTAGATCCAACCCACTCACTGAAAGCATAATCAATTATCTTTGTGCATTCAATTACATTCCAAGAAGTGCATTTTTACTTTCCAGATGGGACTCTTCTGTTAAGAACAGAATAGTTCCATGAATAAAATATACTACATGAACTTTAAAAAGTGTAAATTGCTTTTATTGAATTTGCATTTGATTATTGATGGATGAAGATGATTTATTGTAGTTACTCGGTATTTTAAAAATAAGCACAAGGTTCTGGCAGGCAGATTGCCTTTTTATCCAGGAAGCTGAGAAATCTGATTCGTTTCCTTGCTGCAAACCTTTCATTCATTTAATGTTTCTTTACTTCATTGTCAATCTTGAGTGCATGTAGTATATGTTTATTATTCCATAGATGCTAGTTCATATCTTTGATTTAAGGCTTTTGTTGTGGAATAATGTAAAAACTTTAAGGCCTCAACACACCAAATGATGGGGGGCCATAAGTGTGAGTTGTATAGTGACTGACTGAAATCTCACTCTAGTTATAAAACACCCAATGACACTAGGGAAGTGATACTCTCTCTAAGTGATATCTGAACATCTCAAAAGGCATTATCTCAGGGGGTGATAATGTTCCCTTGCACATTCAGGGGTGAGGACCACTTCACTGAAATAACACTCCCATCCTGATCTGCACTGCCTTAGGCCAGTGTTTCTCAACATGATGGTCAAGACCCTGGGAGGGTCGTGAGGGGGTTTCAGAGGGGTCACCAAAGACCATCAGAAAACATATTTCTGATGGTCTTAGGAGCCCCTTTGGCAGAGAATACTGAAGATATCTCTGTCTGTCCTTCCCTTTCTTTTTGGAAACAGACAGCCAATCTTCCCACCAAAAGCCCTCATCCACTGTGATTGCTCAGCTTCTCAGTCGGCGTCTCAGCCAAGGGGAGGGCTGTTACTGAGACTCCAAGCAGAGAGGGGAGAGCAGGCATGCTTTGCTTACAGCAGTGAAGTGCGCATGTGTGGACAAGGGAGAGTGTGCGAGGCTGGAGAGAGGCTCATGCCAGAGAGTCCCTTCAAGGAATGGGGGTTCTGTGTGGGAAGTTTGTCCCAATTCTATTGTTGGTGGAGTGCAGAACGCTCTTTGATTGTAGGTGAACTATAATCCCCAGCAACAACAACTCCCAAATATCAAGGTCTATTTTCCCCAAACTCCAACAGTTTTCACATTTGTGCATATTGAGTATTTGTGCCAAGTTTTGTCCAGATCCATCATTGTTTGAGTACACAGTGCTCTCTGGATGTAGGTGAACTACAACTCCAAAACTCAAGGTCACCAAACCCTCCCAGTATTTTCTGTAGGTCATGGGACTTCTGTGTGCTAAGTTAGGTTCAATTCCATAGTTGGTGGAGTTAAGAATGCTCTTTGATTGTAGGTTAATTATAAACCCCAGAAACTACAACTCCCAAATGACAAAATCAATGCCCTCCAACTCCACCAGTATTTAAATTTGGGCATATGGGGTATTTGTGCCAAATTTGGTCCAGTGTATGAAAATACATCCTGCCTATTAGGCATTTACATTACAATTCATAACTGTAGCACAATTACATTTAGGAAGTAGCAACGAAATTTTTTTTATGGTTTGCAGATTTTATACATATTATTTACTGAATTACTGCCACATAGCTATGTATTTCAGTGTGAGGAGAGGAGGGCAGGGAAATAAATATTGCATCATATGATATTCTTTTGAAAGAGACAATTTGCTCTTACAGTTTTAATACAGTATGTGGTGCATTTAAGGAAGCCTGATTCAACATAAATATTTTCATGTCCAGATCACTGCTTCATAGGTTCTCACCAGAAAGGCCAGGTGAAGTGTTCCGCCTGGTTTTCATGAGAGGGGCAGCAGGGCAAATCTGTCACTCCACGCACAGTTCCCTCTTGGCAATGCTTTTCCCATCACATGTTTAAAACCATGAAGTAAGAATAGCATCTTATCTTTAGAATTAGAAAAACCAAGTGGCAGCAGGAATATTTAGATTCAGCTTTAATTATATCACAGGGATTTTTTTCTTCCCCTCCATCCAATGTTGTGTATCTTGCTTTTAAAAAAACATCTGGTCAAAGCAAATCATGCATTTAACACTTTTTTTCAGAAGAGGTGCTTTGTCAAGTCCTAAAAGATGTATGTCATAGAATCTATTTGTCCTCATCTAGACATTCGGCCTTTAGCAGACTTTATTAAAATTCGGATCATTTGAAAATAGGTGTGCTTCAGCATCATTTTTTCTGCACTCATGTTTATTTTCAACTCCTATGGAGGAGATAGAGGAACAAATAAAAACGTATTTATTGCAGATAATTTACATTCCCTTTAATATTTGTTGGACCTTGGGTGCAAAGCTTATGAGCGAAGCTTATGGATTTCAAAGCATGACCTTCATGTAAAGAAATGTGTAACAAACATGAAAGCAATACTTTCTAGCACTGCAGCTAATGTTTGTCCTTGTTTATCAACAGAGAGAGCTGTGCCAATAAAATTCCAGATTTTTATATAATAAAAGAAACCATCCAAATTGCTTTTGCAACAAGAATGTCAAAAGATAACATCAATTTGAAAATGCAATGCTCAGAGAGAGATGTATAGTACAAAAAAGATTTTTTTCTAATAGTTCATATATGATCAAGGCTAATTTCATAATACTGTCATATTTTAATGGTTACTGGCAAATTTGTAGTTAATTTACTGTTTAAATGTTTTTTTCCCTATCCCATCATAGAAGTGTAGATATGCAATATAGTAACAGAAGCTACAAGGACATCAGAGCATCTCACCATTGCTTGTTCCATAGGTGACACTACATCACTTGAAGAGTGGGAAAATTCTGAATTTTCCAGCCAAAAAATGGTTGTCAAGGAACCATGGAAATGGAGATACTGTGTGTGAACTTCCAGTTGTCGAAAAAGGAAAAATCCTATACTCAAGTAATGACATGTACTTCTGGTGAAAGACAGAACATACAAGTTATCACAACAGTTATTAAATTACATGGTCTATTGCCAGATTATGTCAATTTTCACAAAAAAGTATGGGATATAATCCAATTGATCCTTAGCCACTTTAAGATCATTAGGCCTGCTGGGATTTATTAAATTAGCTAGCATGTTAAAACACCTATAATTTAAAGGAATATAAAATCATTTAAAAATATAACTATGAAGATAAAAATGAATCACACAAAGATAATTGCACTAACTCTCCAATTCCATTATTAAAAACAACATGCATGAAATTTACAAGGACATTGTTATGCACCTTAGCAATAGCACAACCTAGAAAAAATGTATATTTTTACATCCCTTTAAAAAAATATTTGTATTATCAGTTTAGTCACTGTATATTGTTTTAAATGTGTCAGCTGACCTATGTGCCCATGACTGGAAAAAGGATGGGCAATACTTAACTGAAAATAAATTCCAAATACACGTTCTATTTCTAAAGGCTTGTTCAAAGAGCCAGATTTTTAGTTTTCTTCAGAAGGTCAGGAGGGAGGAGGCTGATCTAATATCCCTAGGGAGGGCCTTCTCAGTGGTGGCCCCTCAGCTGTGGAACTCCCTCCCTAGAGATATTAGATCGGCCCCCTCCCTCCTGACCTTCCAAAAAAAAGTAAAAACCTGGCTCTTTGAACAAGCCTTTGGAAATGCAGTGCAATAGACAAACACAAAATTATTTAAGTTTGAAACATGAAAATTTTAATCCAGTCTACCTGTGTCTTGCTTCTTCATTTCAGAGGTGGGCAGACAAGGGGCTTTCCCTCCCCAATGAGAGCAATTTGCCTCCTCCCCTGAGGAATTTCCCTCCTCCCCTGAGGAAGAGGGAGGATGGTTCTGTTTGAACCATCCAGAGAGGCAGCCAGCTCCCTCTCATTCAACATACGACCGTCCACCCACCCATTAACAGTATAACTATGTGGTTGGCTCTCGGAACTGGGTAGGAATTTTTCCTTTCTATGTTCTATGAAGGTTTTTTGCCTAGCCTATACTGTTTAGGGGCTAGCTGGGATGGTAGGTCTGATTAAATAGGCCTAGAATAAATAGCTAGGAAAACACAAAAATTTGGTGTACGTCCAAGGCACCCCCGTTTGGGGTGTGTGCATTTATACAATACACTCACCTTGAGGTTCAGTTAAGGGGTGAGGTGAAATTAAATAGCCCAGAAATAGGAGGAGTCTGGTCTTGACATCTTAGGGGAGGCTTTTCTATATGTTTCCCTTTGCGGTTGCTTCGGTATAGGTCACCAGGGGACCCAGATGTTTTGCCCTTAGAAGCCGAGGAGTAGGTCAGGCAGGGATGCTACCTCAACTTCGCCATCAAGTCCAACACAGTTATAGTTTAGTTTTAAGAAAAGTTAAATAGGTAGCAATTTATAAACATTGCCCAAATTTTAATCCAGTCTACCTGTGTCTTGCCTCTTCATTTCAGGGGTGGGCAGGCAATGGTTTTTGTATTGTATTGATTTTATATTGATTTAATAAGGCTGTTTTAAATGTTTTAATTGTATATTATGGATTGTTATGGCATCAAATTGCTGCCAATTTGTAAACCGCCTTGAGTCGCCTTCGGAATTGAGAAAGACGGGATAGAAATATTTTAAATAAATAAATGATTCATGTCTAATTATTTTCATCTTTTAAAATGTGAATCTCTTTTCTAGCTTTGAATTACCAGGTTTATGTGTACACTGGACATATGGAGCAAGCCGAAACTGATTCCCCAGTTTATTTGTGCATCTATGGAGAAAGAGGTGATTCTGGTCTAAGGTTTCTTCACAGATCTAACAATACCATAAAATTCCAGAGAGGAAAGGTAAGCATGCCAAATGAAAACTTTATTCTATCCATTTGCAGATAATTTGAAAAGGGCTTTTACATACCTGTTTTGAAAGGAATTGAAACAAATCTTGCTCTGCAAAACACTTCATTTTACTAGAGGATTACAGTACGATGCCTGTATCCACTGAGGATAATAAAGAACTCAACTGAATACATAGAGTCATGCTGGAGGACCTAGAAATTACTTAGAAAAGACCTGTTTTTGGACTTGATAAATGAAAATGAAGTTACTGGCCTTGCAAATTGGGAGTCATACTGTATTAAATAATTTTATAGATAGTTCTATAAATTCGGTATCTTAGATGAGGAGAGAATATTAGTACCTGGAAAAGAATTAATAACGAATAAATAAAAGAAGTAATTAAAATAATAAAGTAGAATGGAGAAAATGAAAATAGACTTTGGAGATGGGTATAGAAAGTTAAGAAAAAAAAACAAGGGGAAAACTACACTGTAAAATATGCATAATATCAATGTTTGTTACAATAGATCACAAACAGGTTACATGCCCCCTCTTCGTGGAATTATTTACAGCATGTCTCATACATTTACTAACCTGGTATTTTATTGGTATTTTCGGAACTGAGAAGAATTGCCTTTTCAGGAACTTAATTGTAGCACCAAGTAATATGGGCACATGCTGAACACTTAACAGGTTGTGATGACCAAGTACTGCAATGAGAAAGTAGAATAATTTGGGTTTGTGCATGTACAGAGGAATGCTGTTATGTGGCAAGTTGACCATGTTGCTTTTTATGTTGCCTGTCAGCTGTAATTTTGTCAATAAACATTAGTCAGATCTTTGACACAAAGAGTTGCGGAGAGTTTGATGTGTGACTTAGTGCACAGCATTTTAATTACCAAAATACTTAGTATGCTACCTGCAGCTTGCATGTTGAAGATGCGCCTAAACCACATTTCATGTCTCATTCTTTTAGCACAGCACATTCCAAACATATATGAGAGGATGGGTCCTTCCAGATAGGCCCAAAAATGTGGGGCCTGTTGTGCTTTTACTTCAGGTAAAAGCGAATTAATACATAGAGTCATGGAACAAAGCAGGATTTACATGTTTGTTCCCAAGTAATTAGATACCCAGGTCTAATGGGGTATTGGGCCTGGGACTACCTGGAGGTGAGTCCCCACAGATAATATCCCCTCTTTGAGCTTCCAAAAGCCCAGAGGAGTAAGATGGTGCCCACACTTTCCCCCCAAGCTCCCAAAACGACCCTTAAAATTTGAAAGAAACTTAACTAGGCCACCATTATGGTGGTCCTTGAGACCTTCAGATGCGTAGAAATGACACACCAGGAGATGGGAAGGAGGGAGGAGCAATTTTCTATGTGCCAGAAGGACTCAAGGACCATTGTAATGATGGCCTGGTAAGTTTTTTAAAAAATTAAGAGTAGTATTGGGGGGCTTCGGTGTGCCTGGGCGCCATCCCAGTAGTCTAGACACTCCTCTGGGAAAACCTGGGTTTTGGGTGAATGTGTGTGTGTGAACTGAAACCCATACTGAAGCAGGTTTTTAAAGTTGGTTTAAGTTGTGTCTGGAAGTGTCTGATGTCATCAGGAATGGACTAAAGTTATATCTGTTGTAGTTATGACTTTCGCAGCTATTTTAAACCCTGAAATAGTTGCTTAACTATTACTATGGCAACTTCTTTCACTTGCAATAGTTCCTAGAAATGTTTTGTTTTCTCTATCAGTTGTGTCAACTCCTTTGGGTCTAATTCACTCAAAGTAGACACAACCATGCATTGGCTCATATGTGCTTATTTTTGTTCACTAAAGATGTACCATGAAACACAGAGGAAAAATCTAGATCCAGACCATGAATTGTGGGGAGCATTAGTTATTTATTACCATATTTTTTGTTGGTTTATCTTTTTTCAATGCTGGAACTCAAAGTGCTCCACACATTTTAAAAAGGGGGTTAAAAGCACAAAGATGTGATTACAACATATAAAGGCTGTTATTGTCTTTCCGATTTTATAATGAGTCAAAATAAGCAAACTTGGTATAAAAAGTATCTGATGGTATTGGGTGCTAATATAAATTACAAAAATATAGATGGATTCCAATAAATTCAGAAACAAAATCTGGGACTTTCTAGTCTCTTTAATTAGTCTGAATGTACCCTCAATTTGCAACTTCATATTTCAACACTGAGATGGTTGTGACCTTTGTTTATTGCTGTCTGCATTAATGTGTGTGCAACCTATTTGTTGTCTTCTAGATTGACATGTTTGAAATACAAGCTGTCTCTCTTGGAAATCTACAGAAAATGCTGTTGCGCTGCAAGGCATATAACATGTCACGCAATTGGTACTGTGAGAAAGTAGTCATCAGAGAACCCGAGAAGAACTCTGAATATATTTTCATCTGTGAAAGGTAGTATTTAATTACAAGTCCTCTTCTAAAATTACCTTTCCAAACAACAGCTTAGTTCCTTCCGTGTAACAATTAATTCTCTTTATTTTTTTAAATAAATGCTGTTTATTCTTGCCCCATTTTCCAAAATACATGAAATGTCAATAATGCAAAGTTGTTTCTCTTTGATTGAAGGGATCACTGCATCATTGTAACCTATGCCTTGTAACTGTGACTTTGTTTGTAGGGTGGCACAGGTTGAAGGAGGTAGCTTAAATCCTACAAAACATCTGATCTTTATCCTTCCTCAGATTTTTGGAATGATCCAGTTAAGAATACCTTTTAAAATGTCATGTTAGGCTTCACTTTGTCCCCTGCTCCATTCAAACAAAAAGAAATTCCAGGAATTATGTTATATATGACATACCTTTGCTAAAGTATATGCTAACCAAATGAGCCTCCAGATGTTGTTGAACTGCAGCCCCTAGCATTCTTTTCCATTGGTTCTGCTGGACAGGGCTAATGGGAGCTACACTTCACTCACCTCCACCTAGCAAAAGGAAAGCACAGCTAGGCTTAACTGAAGAATTTCACCAATAAGAATTTTGGTCAATCCTCTTTATCTGAGTTAGGAAAATGCAAAAGACAATGACATTTAATGAATATGTGTGTAGAAGAAAGTATGGAGTTCCATGAAAGCATTAAATATTGTTGGGTTACATCCCTGGACTGCATAAGTCTCTTGTGTCATCAGGTCTCCAGTTCTCAATGAGTAGCTAGACTAGAGATAGGATTAGAGTGAGGGATTCCTTCCCCCACATTCCCATGCATGCTTATCCCAGAAAGGGCTTTGTTTTTACTCTTCCTCCTTGCCACTATCGCCTCCCCCTTTGAAGATGTAGCAATGTAATCTCTGTGAGGTCCCTTGCTTTTTAAACGTATTTTGATTGCCCTGGGCTTGGCCATGCGGTCAGCCTCCATTGTTTCTTCTGCCTTTCACTTCCTTCCAGTGAAGATGCATTTTGCATCTCTCTCCAGGCAAAATGTAGTTGCATGGATATTTTGACTTTGTATCCTATTTTGCCTTTCTTAGAAGATGGGTTTTAGTAAGCTAGTTAGTACCAAAAAAAATTTCTATCCAGAATGTATTTTTCTTGAATAAATATTTTTGAACCTAAAGTTGTGACTCTGCAATCATGTATCATCCTGTTGAATGGAAGCTTATCCTGGCTCACCACACGTTAGTTTCTGCTGGTTATGAAGTTTACTTCTAGTTCTCTGTTATATTTATGGTGGAATTACCCCAACTGAGGGGTATTTTGAGCCTAACAGCTCAGATTCCCCAACAAATATACAGAGTCCTTATCTCTTAGGCACAAAGTCACTCAGTCATGAAGCATTCTTTTTCAGTGGGTTGTTGTAGGTTTTTTGGGCTATATGGCCATGTTCTAGAAGCATTCACTCCTGACGTTTTGCCTGTATTTATGGCAGGCATCCTTAGAAATTGTGAGGTCATTTATTTTCAGTGTCCTGAAGATTCAGTATTCTATAAGAGAAAAGGGGAAATAGGGGAGGAACGATGTGTGGTGATTCCAGCTGCCAGTGTGAAGAATCCTACTGAAAGCAGACCCATTGAAATCACCCGGACTTAAGTTAGCTTTATTGTTGCTGTTGTTGTTGTGAAAGCTGTGACTCACAACAAGTTCTACCCATTTTAATCTATTTTCTTTAGACAGAATTTATGGTTGCATTTGCCCTCTATCTATGAAGAAGAAACATCACAAACAGTGCTTTTAAAAGAAAAGTGTAGGGCAAGTAAAGAAAGATTGTATAGCCTCCTAAGTTCCAACCTGGGGTCTGCTAAGTCCCACATTCAAAAGGTTGTTTTTGTTTTCAAAATGTCAGATGTTTTATATGTACACACAAAAGAGGTAGGAAAAAAAGAAAATGAAAAATGGGCATGGATAAAGAAGTACATAGAACATCAATATGGATGTGCATATATGTTGAAAGAAAGTAACCATTGGTCCAATAATGTATTTTCTTGGATCTACTGTCTATAATATACAAATTAATGTAGAAGATCTTCTAATTATTGGCTGCCAGATGATGAATGCTTCTCTTTCCAACCTGAAAGTCTTTCAGAAACAGCAAAAGCATGGAGAATCCAGCCATGCTGACCTTCAGTTAAATTCCAATGTGCAGCATAAAAGTCCATGCACCTCTACAAATGTCAAAGATTTTTTCTAATACAAACTTAGTGCCATTTCAACATTTCTTATTTAAGGTAACTTATGTGATTTTTAGTTAACCACTTACTCGGTTCACTCTATTTTTAGAAGCCCGGAGGGTTTTTTTTAAAAAAATAAAAGCTTAGTTGTGGAAAATATGTGCATGCATAATTATCAGTTCTTCACAAGATCTAATGCACAAGTAATCAGGCATTTCATGCATTTGATTAGACAGGGTCTTTTACTGGTTCGAAGCTGAGCATCTCCATCAAGGTGCTGAGTTCCCTCATTTGCATACCTAATGGAAAATCCATTTAAATCAAAAGATGAAAGATGCTTGAATATTTTAACCTTGTCCATGAAGTCAACAGTGCAACAGGATGTAAGTCTTTAAAGAACTCTAAACTGCAAATGTCTTCAGGGCTGCATCTAAACTTCAGATGCTGTTCTGGATACAGCACAGAAGTGTCCTGGAGCCCTTTTTGAGTGTCCAACAGTGTGTTGGGGCCATTGCTACTGCTTTGTCAGCCAAAAGCAGCTCCTTGTCAGAGCTTTGCTAGCAACATTGCTTCTAGTGAGGTCACAACAGAATGCCAAGCCATGGGACCCAGTAGAAGAGACATCACCAGCAAGGCTGTGCTGGAGGGCTGCTTCTAGTCAATGATACAGTGGTGGATCTGTCTGATGTGCAAATCCTGGATCACACTGGATCCAGCCCCATCCAGCTGTTCACACCTCCAAAACTCTAGGGTCAATCTGGAACTTCCTGGAAGCTCTGAAGTAAATTGTGATTTCCCCTTATGCCAGATTAATGGCTGAAAGCAGTACTTCTGCTGTGAAACTAGCCATACACTGCATGGACCACTTGCAGTTGCAAGGTGAGTCTACAGACACCCTCTCAGTTCTCATATCACATCATATCTTTATACTCAATCAAGAAATAGAACTTCAGATTGGTAGTCCTGACCCTAAGCCAATTAATTACACCACGTTTTTCTCTCACTTCCTGAGTCTTTCACGCATTCCTGCCTTCATTTACCTGATCTTGGAGCCAACTGAACCATATCACTTCAACTCACTGCCTGGAAGGGACAAATCTGCAAACAAGACATAATTATTTGGGCCTCTGAGGCCTTGCTGTACAATAGATCTTGTTTTCTAGTATATTTTCCTCCTCTCTGAGGGGAAAATAGACAAATACGTTTCATTCTGGTAAAGTCAGTGTGAAACATCTCCAATGTAGAAGCGTTTTTGGACATAAGACTACAAATAAAAGGCCATCTGGCTAACTTCTCTGTTCTTCCAAAAATTGATGCAAGTGGGAGCTGTCTTTTTATATATATTGCTCGTGACTTACGTGGCTATGATAAGTTCTGCTATGTTTAGGTTGGATTCTCAGTTCAGATTTAACCAATCCAATGTGTATGCAGAAAAATAAGCACTGATCATAGAAAGAGAAGGGACAGAGCATACTGTGTACCAAATGTGAATTCGTTTCCCCAAATTATATATTGTAACTACTATTTTAAAAAGTCATGTAACAATACTAATGTAATAACAACTGAGAGAACAACAAATTGTAATAATCATATTTTTCTTTATGTGAAGAATGTATTTTTTATCTTTTCAGAAATAGCTAACATGCCTTCTACCCCAATCAAAATCTTAACTCTGTGTGTATGTGTGTGTATGTGTGTGTGTGGGGGGGGAGCTCTTTAGCTTTATGGGCTTCATTTGGATTGGTCAACTGGATGCTTACAGGTTGGATGGGGAAATAGTCTCATTTGTTTTAATAGAAAAGAATTTCCCATGCTATTTCCCATACTATTTTCAGATTGAAGAATAAAATTTGCCATGTTTGTTTGCCAAGGCCCCTAGTTATTACTAACCTAAAACCCCACCCAAACTCACAACCAAATCATGTGATGTACATATCTAATTGACCTTCTATTTTTTTTTTAATAAGAAGGCCTGGCTGTTATGTTTTGCATTACCTTTCTGTCCTGTTCTTAAAGAGGATGTGATGTATTGCTTGATCTCCTTGTAAATTAAGAGCATGATAGCTTGATGCCCTCCATGCAGAAATAATTTACTGTCTTGAGTTAAAGCTTTGTATGCAACACCCTGTACAGCAGTATGCTCACATTAAAAATAATTTTAGTTAACATTATGTGCTGACACAGCGAAACTGATTCCAGGTTTCTCCTTTCTTTTGTTCTCTCTCTTTTCCTCAGATGGCTGCCTTATATGTCAGAAGGCATAATTCATTCAGAGATAGAGCTCTTCTGTCAAGGTAAAAGATATGGCTGTAATTTGGGAGTTGAAAAAAAATAAAGCATTGAAGGAGTTACAGTGGTCACTAGGCATGGTTAGGTTAGGTTGGAATCTTCGTAATTTGGAATAAATTCGGAAATATTTCCTTTTTGAAGCGATTTCAAAGTTTTTAAGGAAACCGGAAGTCCTTTTTCCCTTCCGAAGCTTTTTCCGCCATTTCTCTTACAAATCAGTAAGTGAGACGGAAATTATTCAGCTTTTCAAATGAGTGTGGATGGATTCCCTTCAGTTTCCTTCCCCCCCGCAGTCAGCCTTGGGTGAGAGATGTAGTTTAACGCAGTTTCCATGGATTCCCTTCACTTGATTTTCCCTCCCAGTGAGCCCTGGGTGAGAGATGCAGTTTAATGCCATTTGCATGGATTCCCTTCAGTGCCTTTCCCTCCCAGTTGGCCCTGGGTGAGAGATGCAGTTTAACGCAGTTTGCATGGATTCCCTTCGGTTGCCTTTCCCTCCCAGTCAGCCACCCAATGAAACAGGAAATAACACTTTGAAACCATTAATGAAGGATTTGGAAGACTTGGAAGTTTTGAAAAGTTTTGAACTTTTTTTCTGTGAAAATCAGAATTGACTTTAGATCCGAACCACCAGCACCCCCTACATCCGAAATGAGTTTTGAACCATTCTTTTTGGATCAAACAAGCCTAGTGGTCGCAGCGGAACTTACTTTAGAATAAACATGCATATGTTGCATAGGGATTCAGAGTAAACATGTACAGAGTTGTACTTAAAGCGAACTTGTGTTATTTTCACATTGCTATCTGAACAATCTGATGGTAAGCATTTTTTAAAGTGGAATTCACATTGTTCTAACAAAAATGTGTGCTCCATCATAAAATAGGATCAATGTGAAGAAGAACAGGGTTCTTATTCTGTTCTGTTTCTCCATTCAAATATGGATGAAAAAAGTTGCAAAATATTCCACAAAATATTGAAAAACATGCTTTGAAATGTGAAGAAACTGATGAGAAGAATCCTGGACACATGAGAACCTATAATGCATTAATTATTCTGTAGAAAATTCACATACAACCATTTTGCCAATAAAACAAGTTTTCTTGCACAGGAACATTTTCTGAATATAAAATACTGTTTATTTTAAAGAAAATGCTCGAACTAGGAATGTATTCTGCACAAAATTTTTACTTGACTGGTACAGAAAATTTTATACAGAATAAGGTGTTAATCATGAATAGACGTTTAAACAGTTTCTCACAATTGGAGGAAACTTGCTAAAATTAACCTTTGCTTCCTTTGAAAAGAAAGTGAAGAATTACATCAACTTCAAGTAGAGTAAGTAGGATCAGTTCAAGTCTAATAAAAGTTCACTAGCAGGGCAGGAGAAGAAACTCTTGCTTATGTTTCACAGCAGCTAGAATGCAGAAATCTGTGACTTTTCTCTGCCCATGTCCTCTGCTACCACATTACCAATAACATAGATAATCAAGGAAATCCTTTTTGGAACTCATTGTTTCCTTTGAACATGGAATTGTCTTTTCATTTAAAGATTATTTGAGTTGTGATAAACTCCAGTAATCTTTAAATAAAAATACAATTACATGTTCAAAGGCTGCAGTTTCTTCTCCTGTCCTGCTAGTGAACTTCTATTAGACTTGAACTGATCCTACTTTTGAAAACTTCTGAAAAAGATAAAAAGTCAAGGAAGTTGACACAAACTTTTACAAATAAAAGGCTAGAGATAAAATAGAAATTGCATTGCACTTCATCACTCAATGATTTTATCTCTTCTATTTTATCTCTTCTCAAAAGAAAACATAACCTCCAACTATTCAGATTAATCAGCTTTTGTCCCACTTTTTCAGAAGTTTTCAAAAGGTCCCAACTTCTCTCTCCCCATTTTGTTTTCCCCCTTTTCTTTAGCTTTCTTCAGCTACTGCAAACAAAGTTTAAAGCCCAAAAGTAGTTTGCACTCAGTTAACTCCATGGGGGAAAGTGGAGATGAAGTGTGTCCTTTTCGCCATTAACTTTTGGAATCTTGACAACACTCTGATGTGAAATATTGAAGATTACAAGAACCTTTCACTGTGAAAGGCAGATATTAATGAAGGATTTTAAGTCATGTAACCAATTCTCTAGGTTTTGCTGGTTCCATAGCTACACATTTTTGTTACTGTGCTTTCTAAACTGTTTGATGTTGTGAATCAGCAGATTTTTTAATATAACAATGAGCCAAGATTAAGCATGATATCTGTGCTCATTGGGTGTTACTTTTCTGGAAACTCACAATGACCTTGCTATCTGGAACCCCTCTATATTATACAGTCAGCACTGAGTTCAACATTGAGATTAGAAACACAGAACCCCTGTGAAAAACCAAAAATAAAGAAATCTTTTTACCAGAGAAAAAGCCTCTCCATGAATTTCTAGGTCTTTGAGCATGACTCTGTGGTTAATTTCCAGTGGAAGTTGAACATAGAATTGCATTGGAGGACCTACGATGTCTTCACATGTACCGCTGGAGTCAGGCTGTCTCACTGCATCCTGGTGAAGACTGTGCAGCGGCCATGGGGACCTGTCACCCCATGCCCCATTCTATCACGGCATCCCCTCATTATATAGGGGGAAGGAAGGGGATCCTGGGAAGAGCTTCTAATGCCTTTGATCTGCAAATGGTGTGTTTTTGTAAAGCAGGATGAAGAATTAGGGAGATTGCCCTTTCACATTTAGATCAACTTCTGGGACTATAAGCCAGACCAGGGGGCATGGTGACCTGTTACTCCGAGCCCTGCACCATCAGACAGTAAAAAGCCTCAATAAGCCAGGTCAACCTGTCTTTCCTTATGGAAAGATGGGAAGCTTCCAATCATGCGCTGTCAACTTCTTTTCTGTGGTGGCAGGGATTTTTTTCCACTTCAGCCACAGAGCCGTCACGAAAGAATTTGTAATGGGTGTGATGGGAGCCATCAGCCTCAGCTGTTGAACTTGAAAAACACTGAGGCTGCTGCTGAAAAGAAGCCAGTGTCAAGGGGTCCTTAGAGATTCCCCAAGAAGTCTCTAGATCCTAAAGCATATTTGGAGGAAGGTGACCATAGAGTCACACTAGAGGACCTAGAAATTTCTGGAGATTATATTTTAAATCAAATATATGAAAAATCAAATCCACAAAAGTAAAAGTTGCAAATGTGGGGGACAACTGTGGTGTATTTAGGTGAAGTCATACTGGTTACCATTAATTCAGTGTACAATGTAAAGGGACCTGCTTTTAGAAGTTTCTGGAATTCAGTTCTGGTTTATGAAAAAAAGTTATTTTCTTATGCAGGAGCAGAAGTGTTAATATAATGTGAACACCTTCTCCCTCCTGCCTTCTACTTTTCATTGTAACATGACAACTCTATTATTAACTGCACTGCTGTTTTATTTTTGGCAGAAATGCAAATAAACCATCAGCCAAAAATGCAAGAGGAGGAAAATGGTAAATTATTATGCTGCTCTCTACCTTTCAATCAAGAGTGGTGTTGAACTGGAACGTGTGTAGTGGTGGTGATTTGCTCATTGTAATTATCATTCTCCAGCCCCCCCCCCCCCACCTCGGGGAAAAACCCATTTTATGTTGGAAAGTTATAAACAGGTTGAAAGTATTTATAATGCTGTTTTCTCCATTACATGAAGTCAACATCCACTTAACATCTTCCCTCAAACCTGTCTCTGCCATATGTCTTCATCTCACAAGCTGCGCTTGGGCATCTTTTAATGTAGTGAAATGTTTCCCTTTATCTATATATTTTTGAACTTTGTGTATATTTTTAAATATTGTAAACATACATGTATTTACTTTTTGATGTAATCCTGTTTGATCTGGGCTTTTTAAAACCACATTTGATTTATAATTATCTTTTTAAAAATACATGGAGTATTTCCCTCCCCCCTCCCCAAGATCTTTATTATCTCAACATTACAGCATCTTGCTTATTCTTAGTTTCCATTAGTGCTCATACTTCATTTTCTTAGTTTTTCTTAGTGCTCACACTTTATTTTCATTTAACATTTCTTTTGTCTGCACCTTCTCTTTTTAGAGTTCCTTTTCTATGATTTGACATTTTTATTGTTAGCACCCCTCAACCCCCTCCCCCATTATCCTTCCCCCAACCACATATTTACCCTATATCTTTATCTTTAACCATGCATAGTTTCCTGAATTTCTGTACATTTGAGCATACAAGAAGTGGTTTAGAAATGTTCCATACAAATTCAGTTACAAGAACTGTAACACTACTAAAGTCAACAATTTGTATCACAAGTATCCTAGGACCCATCTACACTGTCAAATAATGCAAACTGCATTATATGGTCAGTATGGAGTCAAGTAATGCAGTTCAATTATGTTAAACTGCATTATATGAGTCTACACTGACCATATGAGGGTACATTATAGTGGAGCTTCAAACTGGCAGTGTAGATGGAACCCCAGAAGGACTTAAATGAGCATCAAGATACAAATCAACAATATGCAAAGAAAGCAGTCTTCTCTCCAAAGCCAGAAGAAACAAAGTTGGTTATTAACACCTCATGATCACAATGCTATCCAAGACAGCTCATGGTTTACAACCATAAACCAGGAATAGAAATCATGTGGCCTGCCAGATGTTGCTGGACTGAAATTGCTAACAACCCCCATGACTGGCTGGGCTGGCTAGAACTGCAGTCCAACAACATCTAGAAAGCCATACAATTTTCACCTTTACAATAAATCAAAATTTCTGTATTCCATTTGTGAAACCGTCCAAAATATTATGCCTTCAAGTATGTTCCGAATTTCTAGAAATATATCATTACAGTTAACAAAGTCAATGTATTCCTGGGCATTACATCTTTAACAGAAATGTTGGTATCAGAGGTAGAAAGAACGTGCAAACATAGGAATAGATTCTTGAATCACACACACACACAGAAGAGTCCAATACGTTTCAGCATAGTTTTTATTCATAACTATTACTATAGACATGTGAGATAAAAACACCCTGGTCAGGTAAGTCTAATGCAGCATAAGTAAACAAAAGCATTCTGAATCTTTTAGAAACCACTTGAAAGCTGTAAAAGTGGCAGGTTAAAGGGAGAATCTTAGCACTTGGCCAGGCCCATATGGAAAGATAATATATATGTCTTCATGATGTCTGTCAACTTACGGCAACTGCATATATTTCATAGTCTTTTGTTAGGCAGCCCCTTCCCCTAAAATATAGCCTATAACATATATTATTTGTTGTTGATCTGCCATCCAAGTACTAATTCCACTTACCGTATATTCCGGCATTTTAGGCGACTTTTGAACCCTGGAAATTTTTTTGAAAAGTTGGGGGTCGTGTTATACGCCGGGTACAGATTGGCGAAGGTGGAAGAGAATTTCCCTCCAAGCCCGCAGGGACAGCAGTGGCCTAGCGGCAGCCCTTTCCCAACCCGACAATAATCAAATGCCTTCCCGGAGCGGCGGAGGCAGCGGCGTCCTACCTCTGAACATCTCCACTGGGGTGTTGCTGCCACTGTGTGAGCAGGCCTAGAGAAGCAGCTGCAACCCAGCAGCAGCTTGACGGAGGCTGATGGAAGTCCTCCCCTGCCTGAAAATGGCTCCTGGAAAGGTGGGAGAGGAGGCCTTTCCTCCGCTCTCGGCAGAGCAGCCCAGCTAGGTTGCTCTGCCAAGAGAGGGAGAGAGGAAGATAAAGTGTATGCAGGGAAAGGGAGAAGGAAAGAAATGTGCCCACGGAGTGAGGGAGAAAAAAGGAAAAGCACGCACAAGATGAGAGAGAAGGAGAGAAAGGCACGCTGAGGGTGAGGGAGAAGGAAAAAAGGCAGGCGGGGGAGGGGGGGTGGAAAGGCACACATGGGGCGAGGGAGAGGCACACGCGAGGTGAGGGATAAGGGAAAAAAGGTACACGCAGGGTGAGGGAGAAGAAAGGTGAACATGGGTCGAGGGAGGAGAAAAGGGCACGCACATGGCAAGGGAGAGGGAGAAAAAAGTGCACACGGGCGAGGAAGAAAAAAATAAACGTGTCTGGGGCAAGGGAGAAGGAGGGAAAGGTGTGCAGGCAGAAAGAGCAGAGGAAAGAAAGGTGCAAGGAAAGAGGAGGAAAAGACAGCTGGGTTGCTCTGCAGAGAGTGGAGGTCCTAGCAAGAAGGGGTGCGGCTGAAAGAAGCCCTTCTTTCAGCCTCACACCTTCCTGGCATCCATGGAGCAGCTGCTGGGCTGCAGCCACTCCTGTAGGCGGGCTCAGGAGCGGAGGAGAGCCATCCCCAGGCCAGCGGAGAAGAATGGAGAAGCCTCCATGCTGCAAACGCTCCCTGAGTTGCAGCAGCATTTGCAGGCGTCTCCCAGGAGATAGCTGTGGCAGGAAGGAAAATGCAGGCTCCCAATTTCCAAGGTCTGTTTTCCCCAGAGCCCCCAGTATTCTCTTTTTGTTCATGGGTGTTCTCTGTGCCAAGTTTAGTCCAATTCCATGGCTGTTGGGGTTTCAGAATGCTCTTTGATTGCAGAGAACTATAAATCCTAGGCAGCTCCCAATTTCCAAGGTCTGTTTTCCCCAGACATCTCAGTATTCTCTTTTTGTTCATGGGTGTTCTCGTCTGTTTTCCCCAGACATCTCAGTATTCTCTTTGTTCATGAGTGTTCTCTGTGCCAAGTTTATTCCAATTCCATGGCTGTTGGGGTTTCAGAATGCTCTTTGATTGCAGAGAACTATAAATCCCAAACAGCTCCCAATTTCCAAGGTCTGTTTTCCCCAGAGCCCCAAGTATTTTCTTGTTATTCATGGGTGTTCGCTGTGCCAAGTTTAGTCCAATTCCATGGCTGTTAGGGTTTCAGAATGCTCTTTGATTGTAGAGAACTATAAATCCTAGGCAGTTCCCAATTTCCAAGGTCTATTTTCCCCAGACCCCCCAGTATTCTCTTGTTATTCATGGGTGTTCTCTGTGCCAAGTTTAGTCCAATTCCATGGCTGTTGGGGTTTCAGAATGCTCTTTGATTGCAGAGAACTATAAATCCCAAGCAGTTCCCAATTTCCAAGGTCTGTTTTCCCCAGACCCCCCAGTATTCTCTTGTTATTCATGGGTGTTCTCTGTGCCAAGTTTAGTCCAATTCCATGGCTGTTGGGGTTTCAGAATGCTCTTTGATTGCAGAGAACTATAAATCCCAAGCAGCTCCCAATTTCCAAGGTCTGTTTTCCCCAGACCCCCCAGTATTCTCTTGTTATTCATGGGTGTTCTCTGTGCCAAGTTTAGTCCAATTCCATGGCTGTTGGGGTTTCAGAATGCTCTTTGATTGCAGAGAACTATAAATCCCAGGCAGCTCCCAATTTCCAAGGTCTGTTTTCCCCAGACCCCCCAGTATTCTCTTGTTATTCATGGGTGTTCTCTGTGCCAAGTTTAGTCCAATTCCATGGCTGTTGGGGTTTCAGAATGCTTTTTGATTGCAGCTCCTAAATCCTAGGCAGCTCCCAATTTCCAAGGTCTGTTTTCCCCAGACATCCCAGTATTCTATTTTTGTTCATGGAAGTTCTCTGTGCCAAGTTTAGTCCATAAATCCCAAGTTTAGCCTATAAATCCCAAGCAGCTCCCAATTTCCAAGGTCTATTTTCCCCAATGTTCAAATTTGGGCATATTGAGTGTTCATGCCCAGTTTGGTCCAGATCAATAGTTGTTTGGTTCTGTGTGCCAATTTGGTCCAGGTCTGTAATACATGAAGGTTTCATTGGTCTGTAGAAGTAATTGCTGAATCGGTTCAAGGTACTGCAAATCCGATCATCTCTTGTCCATCGTCCCCCAAACATTGTTTTTCTGGTTAATCACAATGCTTTAATTATGTTCCATTTGTAACAATGAAATCCTGTATATCAAATTTTACATTACGATTCATAAGAGTAGCACAATTACAGTTATGGATTGTGGGATTTTAATACATCGATGTAATTGTTTTTAGATGTTTTTAATTCTTTAGTTTGGATCTCCCTCCTTCTCTCCCTCCCTTCATGAGGTGGGAGGAGGAGGAGGCAGAAGAGGGGTGGTCTTATACGGTGAGTATATCCCAAACTCCATATTTTAACTGGAAAAGTTGGGGGTCGTCTTATACGCCCAGTCGTCTTATACGCCAGAATATACGGTAGTTTCCAAGATCAGATGGGAACTATTTTTTTAGAGTATTTAGATCCCTTATAAACTGGGCCTGGGCCATGTAGAATGTAGATCTCATGCAATCTAGATCCAGTTTTCCCTTAAATATCAGTTCTCATCTAAACAGACCTCTGTGATTTCCTATTCTTCCATGACACCTCTGAGCAGAACAACGACTACTGTTCCCTAAACTCTGTGGTGCCTAGTCTGTGGTAAAGCCAAAACATGAGGCATTCCGGGCCTATTTTAGTTACTGGGATACTATTTATGGCATTCCTTTTCCATTTTTTTTAACCTGCAGGAGAAGATTGGAAAATCACAGTAGTAACTGGCTCTTTTGAAGCAGCTGGCACAACAGCAACTGTGTCCCTTTACGTTTATGGAGAAGCCAAGACTTCAGGTCCTTTTATGCTGGGATCTGGGGAGAATCATCTTTTTGATCCTTCCAGCATAGATACATTCAAGGTATAATGCTACTAAAAATGGATGAAATTGTTTACACAATTTATTCAGAACACATTTGCTCCATGTTTAAGAAGTGACAGGTAAGATTTTGATATCACATTTCATTTTCAGCCTTCTCTATTGATAGAGATGCAGCATCCCCTGGATAGTCAGATAATTGCTTAGTTGTGGCAGTAATCAATTTAACAATACATTACTAAGATTAGTAGATGATTTCATTTTTGGAAGACTTCAAGTCAATATTGGGTATCTTATTGCTCTTTCCTTTCTATAGTAGTGTATGTAAAGCAAGTATGCTTCATAAGCAAGGGCTGAACTGCTGCATACAGTTAAAGGTGAAAAGTTTAAACCTGGCAGAATTGATCCTAAATGTGTACTTGAACTGATGTGGCTATTCCAGTCAGTAGTTTAGGGACAATTCAACAGGATCTTGAAGCCACACAGCTAATGTGAGACATTCCTTCACTGCAAATAGTTTTTCATCATTAAAAATCCCAGTTCATCTAAAATTGAAAAAACACAGTGTGCTTTTAAAAATAAATGAATGAATGAATGAATGAATTAATAAAAGAACTATCATTCCTGAAAAGCAAAGTTATCCATGTTTTGGATAATGTGTGGATGGTGGGAAGATCAGCGCAAAAATTGATAAGACAACATACATCTTATTGGATGGATGTTGCCTGCTGCCACAAGAAGCAGTAAAGGTATCCTTTCCAAGGATTACTCATATTTGACAAGCAAAACAAGAAGCTTAGGATTTAGGTTCAGAGGAAATTCATATCTTAAGGTGTGAACTTGACATTACTGGTACAAGATATCTTCCAGACTTTGATCGGAGTTCCAATCCCTAATCTGCTCTTTTTTCAAAGTTACTAATTGCTGACGTAAACACATTGCTCTAACCACTTTGAGATTTCATTTGCTTGTGGCATAACATGTCCTTAGAAATGATCTTGGTCCCTCATACTACACCAACCAGTTATTTTAGAACAAGTTTGGACTTATCCCAGAGGCCTTGGAGGTGTCTACAAACTCCATCCCCAAACTGCAGTGGTAATGGGGTGAAGTCCACATGTCATGAAAATATTATTGCAGATTTGAGAAATGTGAATTTAATAATGATGTGTGGGAATGAATGGAAGAATGGAAGCATGGATGGATGTATTTTGGAAACACCAGTATAATATTAAGGCCTGCAATGAAGAAGATCAACATCTGGCCAGGAAACTGAGATGGAGCCAGGATGGAAGATGTCTATCATTAATTTACAACTTTGGGACTACATCAACAGAATATTCCTATAAAAGACTCAGTCTTATAATGCTCAGAGTGTGACCAACCTGAGGAGTCTGGTTCACCCGCTATGCTCTTCTCCATGGGAAGGAGAGAGATAGTGTACCTAAGGAGAGTGACAGATATGTTATGGGAAAGCATGATTCTGGTCACTTTGGGGCTTCTTTCTCAAGGGAAGAGGAAGAAATGCGCTTTTGGAGTTTTAAATTTTGTGCAGGTAGTCAGGTTCTGCTGTATGGAAAACAGAGATATGGTCCTTGGCATTGTTCTTAGGGAAAGAAGTTTTGGCATTTTGGCGTTTTGAAGTTTTGGCGTTATGAAAGTTTTGGAACTATGCACTGGCAGGCTCCAGAAAATAAGGGTCTGGCCTAACAGATGCTTCTCCAAGGAGGGAGAAAAATGATATAGTAACATTTGAATGCCTGAGGATGAATGCATGTACATGTGGTGTGAATGTTGAGTGAAAATGTAATTCCCCTTTGTTTGTTTGTTAACCAATATAATTGTACATCCAACGTAGTTGCATAGAATCTGTATGTCTGTATGTCCAATGTCATTCTTTGTCTAAATGTTTTTGTCGTGACCCACAGAACACAGATTGTCTTAAACGGCAGTTGAGGTGCAAAGTAATAGTATTTTAATGCAAAACAAACTTAATGAGGCACTTAAAAGTCAGTGCAAACAGTTCAAAGGATGTTTTCAAACAGGAACACAAAACACTAGATAAGCAGGCTTGAATTGCAGCCAAGAAATAACAGGAGATACGATGAACTAGGAGCCAAAATACAAAACAAAACAGTCTTTAAGAGTTGCAAGGCATGAAGCAAAGTCCGGTAGGCAAACGCGTAGTCAGTCAGTTCCAAGGGTCAAGAAGCCAGATGTACACTCACGAGCGAAGGTTCCAAGGTCCGAAGCACGGCAGGGAAACAGGATACTGGGAATCCAAAACAAGATTAGGCAGAGTACAACACAATACAACACTTTGTCGTCTGCAAAGGAATAGGTCTCAGAGTGCTCATTTTATTCACTATCAGAAGAATGAGATTCATTGCTTGCATCTGATTCTGCTTCCGCAGCTGAAGCATCTAAACCACGCCAAGCCTGCCACCTTTGCTCTAGTGCCTGATCCTGCCAATCAGTACCCTCATTCCCATTATCCTTAAACCCTTCAAAATCATCACTTGATGTTGCCTGATTGCAAATGTCTCTAATGTTCTGAACCAGAGTCCAGTCTACAGCCTCCTCCATCTCATCCTCACTATCACTGGAGTTATCTGCTGTGTCTCTAAGCCTCTTAGACATAGTGTCACTCTCACTGCCAGAATCACTAGCCACTCTCTTCACTCCCCTGTAATCTGCTTCCATAGCCTCCTCTGGCCTGAATCCTGCAAAGTCTTCTTCATCACTGGAAGCCAGAAAGATGTCACGAATGCGTTTCAGCTGGCGCTGATTCTCCTCTGTTTCTGCATCACTCCTTCTTCTTCTCCTACTATTAGTAGTAGGTATGGTGTCAGAATGCTGACTCACAACAGTTTTTCTGTAATCTGATATACCCTATTACACTGGAAATTGCAATAAAAAGAATCCATGCTTCAAAATCATTGAAAATTCATTCATGACACACATAGTGCAGCAAGGCCAAAATTGATTCGGCATGGCTGGACTTTCAGCTTATCTTTCCTGTCACCATTGTTACTCCTGGACACCTGCAAAGCTCTAAAAGAGCTCCTGGCCATTGCGGACATCTCATGCAAAAATATCAACATGACCAGACCTCACTTCATTATCTCTGAGGTAAGTTGGACTGGGTGTGAGTAACTGGACAAAGCTCAGTGATGGAGTTTCAAGGCTTTGTAGGAATCAAATCTGAGTTTCTCAAGTGTCGTTTTCTCTCTGTGCTCTGGCAACCACATATTCCCTTCCCCCACTAAATATGGTTGACTTACATCAATAATAGTGTTTTGGATTTTTCTGGTTCAAGAGTTGACGAGGGGAGAGGAAAGGTATTCTTCCCCCTTCTTTGTGTTGCTGATATGTGAGAAATACTTTTTTAGATATAAGAAAAGTTTATAGCGACTGATAAGTAAGCACACTTACTGCTTATAGGGATGAACTAGAATATTTCCTAGTATTTCTATCCCGGCAGAAGAGTTGTTTCCCATCTCTATATTCTGCTGACAGTAATGTTCTTAAGGTTAGTAAGTACTGACAGAATGTCTTGCATAAGCAGTGGCTGTATAGGTTTAAGCTGTCTGCCCCTTCAGAACACATCACGTAACTTGGCATATATCGCACAACTGGCAATGTGCTTGTGATAGTTATGGAACTGGAATAGCAGATGAATTACTGAAGGTACACTGATTTACAAGCTGTATGAGAGGATGTTCAAATGATGCCTAACTATTACTAAATTCCTTCTGAAGATTAAGGTTAAGGATTCAAAATAGACCAGGAACAATTGCAGTTTGATTACTTGAGACTTAGTTTCTATAAGTATGCTTTTAACACAGAGACTGTTTGGTACTGACAGATGGAAGCATACCATAAATACTCCTACTTATCACTTATATTAGCAGACTAACCAGCTTTGACTATAAAGAAAAATGTTTCCTAAAATGTGAGAAAATATTCCCCAGATGTAAGTGCCTGCTGAATGAAATCTGAAACTAGATTTCTTCATATGTGTACCCTATACAGACAACTGTGGAAGGACATTGAAATAGTATTTGGAAAAGAAAGGTGAATTATAATGTTCCTAAATAAAGCAGCAAATCAATGCTGCACTGATGTATTGCTTTTTCATGTCAGTACATGTTTGTACAATGTAGACAGATCATGAGACTACTCATCCTTCTTCAACACAGTTGCAGGTAGAATTAATGCAGTTTGACTCCACTTCAACTGCCATGGTCCAATGCTGTAGAATCTTGGGCGTTGTAGTTTTCTGCCCATATTTGGAATCCTCCCATTTCTACACACTGTGGAGACAGAATCCGAAGAGCAACCACTAGAAGCTGTCCTGTATCGTGTAATGGACTTTGTGGAAGTCTATCTTGGAAGTGTGTAGAAATGGAGGAAAACTTCCAAGGCCCCTTCTACACTGCCCTATATTCCAGGATCTGACCTCAGACTATCTGCCTATCCCAGATTATATAGCAATGAATACTCATAAAATCCAGTTCAAACAGATCATCTGGGATTCAATCTTGGAAAATTGGGCAGTGTAGATCCAGCCCATATGATGAGGTCCCTAGTGTCTCACTGAACTACAAAATCTATATAAATAACAATTTAATGTTTGTTTGTGGGATTAACATAACTCAAAAAACCACTGGACGAATTGACACCAAATTTAGACACAATACACTATTAGGCCAACATATGACCATCACTCATAAAATACTGAAAAGCACAGCAGAAGGGACTTAAAAAGCCAATAAATAAATAAATAAAAATTGCAATGCATGTGCACATATATACACATACAGAAATATATAGACACACAAAGCACATATACACAGACTGGACCAAAATACAGTCTCATGTAGCCCCAAATACGTTTGCGGCCCCTGATTTTTTCAAACCTCCTGAAGTATCCACAAGTGCCAATCGATCCTCTTGTACCTTCCATTTCCAAGTTTTTTAAAATTACATTTTCAAAATCAGAACTGGATTTCTAGGTGGGATTTTTTTTTGGTCAGTTTTAGCAGTCCATGAAGTCTCTGGTGGGATCCAGGGCCTATACCTTTTCAGCCCCTCTAATCTTAGAGATAGTTGTTGTCATGTGCCTCCATATGGAAATCCTAAGGCAACCTTTTCATGGAATATCCTGGAGCTGAGAATGTGTGACTCACTCAAGGTCAACCAGTGAATATTCCATTGCTAAAAGTGGAATTGAATCCTGATGTTCTGAGTCATCATCCAACGCTCAAACTGCTACACCATGCTGTCTAGTTTACATCTCTCTCTAATAGTTTAGGCATAGTATGCATCCAAGTCATTACCTTGTTAGTCTTAAGAACACTCTCATTCTTCCTGTTATCAGTTAGGGTACATCTACATTGTAAAATTAATGCAATTTGATAATGCTTTAACTGCTATGGCTCAATGCTATGGAGTAAGAAAAGTTTTAGAAGGTCTTTAGCCTTTTCTGTCAAAGAATACTAGTGCTTCACCAAACCTCAACCACTAGGATTTCATAGCATTGAGCCATGGCAGTAAAACTTATTAACTGTACAGTGTAGACCAGGCTCGAGCAAATTTTGGCCCTCAGATGTTTTGGACTTCAACTCCCAGAAATCCCAGCCAGCTTACTAGCTGTTAGGAATTGTGGAGCTGAAGTCAAAAAAACCCCCTGGAGAGCCAAAGTTTGCCCATGTTTGGAGTAGATGCACCCTCAGTCTTCAGTTAGTCTTCTGGATTTACAGATTCTGAATCAACAGATTCAACCATCCATTGATTGAAAATACTCACATTCCTCCCCCTCCCCTCAATCTAAAAAGTAATGATTGACTTTGTCCTTCTAGAAAAAGGAATGATTTTAGTACACTATTGTATATAATGGTGTTTGAATGTCCATGGATATTGGTATCCATGATGTGTCTTGGAACCAAACCCCAACTGATACCTATTCCACAGTATAATAATGATAACTGATCTGACAGTGTGATCATCTGTTTCAATACACTGGAAAAGTAGATTAATCATTACAATTTTCAGTGTCCTTTCAGAAGTAAAATGTCTGGCTGAATTTCCAAGAGAAATGCACATGGACTGCTTGTCAAAGAAATGTGCTGCTATTATTTATAAAATTGGAACAAATATTACGTCTGCTTTTAATTTGAGAACAAATTGAACTTTCTTTCACAAAATGTTTTCCTCCCCCTCTTTCTCTAGCACAAGCTGCTTTTGAGGTGTTTCATCATTACTGGAAGTCACATTTTATTACTTTCTGTACTGGCTACATATGTCTGGACATTCTAAGGGCCCTTCCAGATAGGACCCAAAATGTGGGCCCTGTCGGACTTTTACCTGAGGCATCCAAATTACTCCTCAGGTAAAAGCGAACTAATTTGAATTACTTTGATACTCCATTATACCTGGGTCTTTCTGAAAGGACAAAGTCTAATGAAATATTGGGCCAGTGGGGGCTGACCCATGGGACTACTTCCACAATCCCGGGGTCAGTCCCCACAGCCTACCTCAGTTCTTTGGGCTTTCAAAATCCCAGAGAACCAAGGAGGGCATCCATGCCCACCCCCAAAACCACCAAAGCCTGGAAAGAAAATAAAAACTCTATGGAGGTCTCCTGGAGGGTACCAATGATGCACCAGAAGACTGGGGGGGGGGGAGAGAAAATTACTCCTGTCCCCCTGCCTTCTGGTGAATAAGTGGTACTCTCCGGGAAGCCTCAAGAGAGGCCCAATGATTTATTTATTTATTTATTTATTTATTTATTTATTTATTATCTTTTAACGTTTTGGGAGGTGTGGCCTCATTCCAGTGCAGTAGTGACCATGCTGGAATGGGGAGAATGCCTAGGGAAAGTCCAGGTCTTTTGGGTGCCCGTGAGGACTTAAACCCATGATGCAGCGGGTTTCTTAAACTTTCTTAATCATGGGTTTAAACCCTGTATGGAAGTGTCACCAAAATCTTCCCTTCACACAAACACAATTCACAGTTTGCAAAGTTGGGATGGGATAGGAATTGACTCTGGTCTAGTGACATCACTACATAACATTCCTGATAACTGAAGAAAATACATTTCCCACTATTCCAATGTGATCAATCATGAGTCAGGTAGCCTCATGTAGGTTTGGATAAGTCAGGATTTGATGGGAGCAAGAGATGTTCCTTAATGTTTGTTTTAAAAGTATATATATTAAAAAGTAATATCACCAGGGAAGATAGTAATGTAAGCAATTGTGGTCCTTCAGATGTTTTTATGTCTATAATTTCTATCAGCCCTAGCCATCGTAACCTAAAGTATGGGATTATGGGAGGTGCAAGCAAAAACCTGGACTGGCCACAGTTTCCTGTTTTTTGACCTAATAGAACAGCTCTTCCCTTTGTCCTAAAAAGAGAGGCCATTCTCCTGATTTCAACATACAATTTGTAACATGATCATAAGATAGGTTTTTGTGGAAACGTGCTTAAATAAGAGGGTTGCCTGATGCCATCTTTTCTGGTTTACCAGAAATACATTTATTATTGGATTCTATTGAGTATTGTTTTGTTTTAGCCAATTTGTGTGATGAATTGATTGATTTGCTTATATTTTTATGATCCAATTAATGATTAGCATATATAATTGTATATAAGTTGACCTCATGCTTAATTTGAGGGCAGGTTTAAGAGCCAAAATTATGGATTTTGTTATCAAGAGCCTGATATCAAGGGCCATTCCTGGGAGAGGGGAAAGTGCTAGTGTCAAAGAGTTAACACTGCAACCATTTTACCACCCAGGTTTTTATAAAGGCCAGAACCAGTGCCATGGTTGAACGTTGAGTGTTAGGTCCTTTTTTATGTTCTCCCCGGAAGGGCTAAGTTTTCATTGTTTGCCCTATACACCAAGAAAGAGATGGGGGGGGGGGGGGGGGGGGAGGGGTTGAGAGAGTGTTAAGGAACAGGGTATACATTAACCAATGCGATTTTTGGGTTGAACTTTTGACTACAATTTCTAGCCACATACATGAATATACATAGTGGATTTTACTGTTAGTTGCATTTTTATTTGAATTGATTTTACACTTGGTTTTGAATGCTGATTAGCTACCTTAAAATAATTGCTGTAATGAAACTAACAAAATAATTAGATCATATTGTAGCACTTTATAGAAAGGATTAGTGTGCCTCTTTTTTGCAATGCCTAACAAAGTTATTTGAATGTTCAGTGAAAATGCCTTTCCTGTTTAAATTTTGCAGATTAATCTAAAAGATGTAGGAGAGCTGTATAAAATACGGATTGGCCACAACAACAGTGGACGAGATCCTAGTTGGTACCTGCAGGAGATTAGACTTCAGCGAATAAGCACACCACTAGAGGAAGAAATATGTTTAACTGTCAATGCCTGGCTCTCTGAAGACCAAGGTGATTTAGATACTTGGCAAGAAATACCAGTAAGGAGACATGGAAAAAAACTGCTACCAGGTATGTCTCTAACATGCCGTTTTGATTCTTCAACTTCTCATGACAAGACAAAGTCAGTGTGATGTAGTTATTACAGTGTTTGTAGATAAACAGGTACCTTGCAAATGTTGTTACACTACAGTTCCCATCAGCCCCATAATGTATGTCCAACTGTAAGAGATGGTTGGAGCCTTAGTTAAAAACATTTGGTGGATTCTGTGTTGCCTTTTCTTTGTTCAGAGCCAGCTTCAAATTCCTACTCACCATTAATTTCATGGGTCAGCTCTACCACAATAAATATCTTTCAGCCTAACCTACTTTACAAGGTTGTTGTGAAGTGGGAAGCGGAGACAAATTTGTACTCTTTGGAGAAAATATGAAATATGAATATCAAAAATAATTCAATTAGAAAAGAGTAGTGCTTCCTATTAGGAATATATGTGCTGTCAGCTAGACAAATATTATGTAAATTGAAGTAATATGTCTGAAGATATTCAGATATTCAAAAGGCGCATTTTGCTGGGGTTTCTTATGTACTGAATTATTTATAGGATCCAATCATTGTAGGTCAGGAAGCAAAATGAAGGCCACCAAGGGCAAGCCTGTGCATATTCAACTAAAGAGAACAGATCAGGTCATTCACATTGTCAAGCAAACCATACTAACAATGAAGGAGAAAATGAAGTATAGGAGACATTTTTAAGGAAAGGATAATTATAGAAAAAATACACGTAAAATCATTCAAAGTTATGAAAACAGGATACAAATGAGAAATCTGAAGATTGAAATGGAGAAGGGTTACATGGGGTCAAAAATTAGTAAGGGGTCAATCTACCTGTGGTCACCACCATTGCCTGCAGCCAAACAAAAGGGAGTTAGATTTAGATTTGTGGATGTAAAGGTTGCCTTTTTGTAATAGGTTTCTTTTCATTGTTTTTGTTGTATAGCTATATTGGATTTCATTGTTTTATACTTCTATTAACACTATATTATAAACTCATGAAAGCAGGATAGAATTACCTGAATGAATAAATAGAAGGAGGGTTGTCAACAAAACTTTCATAGGTCTTCTCGTTGTTAAATAGATTTTGTAGCTATTCATAAAACATCTAATCATCTGTCAGCACATGGAGCATATCTCCTTTTCTTCTTCTTTTTTCTCACTTTTTTCCTCTAATGCTTCAATGGGAAGTGAAAAACAATGAACTTCCTATGGTCAGAATGCACCTTCTGACCAACCCACTCAAATTCTTCACCGTGAATGAATGTTCTGTGTGATTTGTATTTTTCAAGAAATATATTTTCCAAAGCAAAACTTTAAGGGAAACTTTTTATGGTTTAGTTTTATTCATCATCATTATCATCATCATCGGCTATCACTCATGGCCAAGTATGATTGCCTTCCAAGTGTAGAGTCTTGGTGGTGGGTGCATAGCTGGCTGTAGAGAGACCTATTCTGCATCCGAATATCCTTTCACAGTAAGGACATCAGTTTCTAGATGGAAGGCGGTGCTGACAAGGGTTGGCTTTGATGTGCTTTCCCCTTGACACATTTCTCCCTTTCACCCTCCATTCATTAGGCCTGGGTAACAACGCAAAAATTTGTTTCTAAAATCGATTTGTAATTGGGGTGTTTTTTTGTTTCGATATTTAAAATAATTACAAAATTTTCCCTTAAAAAAGTTCGGTATTTACGAAATTTCGTAAATATTTACGAATCGATTCGTTAAGATGGCGGACCCCCCGCGCATGCGCAAAATCACTTCCGAAGCTTCGTTATTGGCGGGGGTCGATTCGTTAAGGTTATAACGAATCGATTCGTTAAAACGGCGGACGCGATTGCGCATGCGCAAAAGCGACTTCCGAAACTTCGTTATTAAATACGAATCGATTCGCTATTAAAATAATAACGAATCGATTCGTTAAAATGGCGGACGCGATTGCGCAATGCTAAATGCTCTATAAACAAAATCATTTCATAAAATAAATCAAATAAAATAATCAAATAGAACAAGATATTAAGATATTAAATAAAAAAGTAATAAGATAAAGTATCCAAAACTGAGTCAATTTAATAATATAATGAAATAAACAATAATATAATAATAAAATTTAAATAAATAAAATATAAATAATAATAAATAATAATAATAAATAATAACAATAAATAATATAAAATTATATAATATATACAATATAAAATAAAATAATATAATATAATAATATATTATTATATATATTATATAAATGAAATAAATAATAATATAAATATTTAAATAAAATATAATTAAATTTATAAAATATTTATAAAATATAATTATAAATAATAATAAAAATAATATATAAAATTAAATTATAAATTATTAATATATAAAAATAATGTTATTATAAAAACTTAGAAAGTAAATATAAGAAATAAATAAAGAAAAAGTAACAAAAAGTAACAGAAATTGCACTTTGAAAAAACTCTGAAAATTATCTGGGAAGTATTGCATACATACTAATTTCTGTAGCAGTATTGCAAGTTAAGTAAGAAGGACCAACTTCACATTTGGGTGGTGTATCTTAATGTGCATCCTTAGCCCTGTTGTGGCAAGATGCCTCATATCTTTTCCTCTGCTGACGCTCACACCGCAATGCCTGCAAACTGCCAAAGTGGCCCTCTCATTATGGACGTCGTAATGATCCCATAGGAGCGATCTCGGCCTACCCCTACTAGGCACTTCAGATGTACTCATGCTCGTGTTTGGACTGTCGGTGTTTGTGGAAGGGAGTATAATCGTTGGTTGTTTCTGTAGCTCGCCCTCCATCAGCATGCAGTCCTCTTGATCACTAATTCCTGTGGTGGAAGCACATTCCATCTTGTCTTCCTCCCATTCCTCTGACACGTCCGCCTCCTCGCCCTCCTCTTCATAACAAGTAGTATCAGAGGTACTTGGAACGACATCAGGATCTGAACGTAGAGTCTTTCGAACTGATGAAGAAGAAGGTTCTGCCATCTCACAGCTGGTTGAAGCATCTGTGGGTGTTTCAATAACCATCTCGTTGGATGAATGTTCCCTCTTGTCAATGTGTTCATCTTCAGTCCCCTGCCTTTCTTAGGTATTCGCGATAGCACTTGGCCCTTGCGACTAGAAAAGCCGGGAAGGAAGCGTTTCATCACACTGGTTGGAACTACACAAATAATGAGCAAAAGGACCGCACTGGTTGGAACTACACAAATAATGAGCGAGCACTGTATTATAGCACTTTGTGTTGGCAAAAGGAGCGCACTGGTTGGAACTACACAAATGAGCGAGCAGTGTATGTAGCACTTTGTGTTGGCAAAAGGAGCGCACTGGTTGGAACTACACAAATGAGCGAGCACTGTATTATAGCACTTTGTGTTGGCAAAAGGAGCGCACTGGTTGGAACTACACAAATGAGCGAGCACTGTATTATAGCACTTTCTGTTGGCAAAAGGAGCGCACTGGTTGGAACTACACAAATGATGAGCGAGCAGTGTATGTAGCACTTTGTGTTGGCAAAAGGAGCGCACTGGTTGGAACTACACAAATGAGCGAGCACGTGTATTATAGCACTTTGTGTTGGCAAAAGGAGCGCACTGGTTGGAACTACACAAATGAGCGAGCACTGTATTATAGCACTTTCTTTTGGCAAAAGGAGCGCACTGGTTGGAACTACACAAATGATGAGCGAGCAGTGTATGTAGCACTTTGTGTTGGCAAAAGGAGCGCACTGGTTGGAACTACACAAATGATGAGCGAGCAGTGTATGTAGCACTTTGTGTTGGCAAAAGGAGCGCACTGGTTGGAACTACACAAATGAGCGAGCACTGTATTATAGCACTTTCTGTTGGCAAAAGGAGCGCACTGGTTGGAACTACACAAATGATGAGCGAGCAGTGTATGTAGCACTTTGTGTTGGCAAAAGGAGCGCACTGGTTGGAACTACACAAATGAGCGAGCACTGTATTATAGCACTTTGTGTTGGCAAAAGGAGCGCACTGGTTGGAACTACACAAATGAGCGAGCACTGTATTATAGCACTTTGTGTTGGCAAAAGGAGCGCACTGGTTGGAACTACACAAATGATGAGCGAGCAGTGTATGTAGCACTTTGTGTTGGCAAAAGGAGCGCACTGGTTGGAACTACACAAATGAGCGAGCACTGTATTATAGCACTTTCTGTTGGCAAAAGGAGCGCACTGGTTGGAACTACACAAATGAGCGAGCACTGTATTATAGCACTTTCTGTTGGCAAAAGGAGCGCACTGGTTGGAACTACACAAATGACAAACGCACACACAGCCACCGAAGACTCTTTTATTTTTTTAGAATATTTTTTGTATTTTTTTAAGAATAAAAGACAGGTATTTTTAAAAAATATTCAAAAATGGAAAATTAAACAAAAACTGGCCCTGATGTGGACCAAACACAGCCACGAGACAGGGCAAACGAGAGCACACACCAACAGAAGAGTCTTTTTTTTTTTAGAATATTTTTTGGTTTTTTTTAAGAATAAAAGACAGGTATTTTTAAAAAATATTCAAAAATGGAAAATTAACCAAAAACTGGCCCTGATGTGAAGCAAACACAGCCACGAGACAGGGCAAACGAGAGCACACAGCAACAGAAGAGTCTTTTCTTTTTTAGAATATTTTTTGTTTTTTTTTAAGAATAAAAGACAGGTATTTTTAAAAATATTCAAAAATGGAAAATTAACCAAAAACTGGCCCTGATGTGGACCAAACACAGCCACGAGACAGGGCAAATGAGAGCACACACCAACAGAAGAGTCTTTTCTTTTTTAGAATATTTTTTGTATTTTTTTTAAGAATAAAAGACAGGTATTTTTAGAAAATATTCAAAAATGGAAAATTAACCAAAAACTGGCCCTGATGTGGACCAAACACAGCCACGAGACAGGGCAAACGAGAGCACACACCAACAGAAGAGTCTTTTCTTTTTTTGAATATTTTTTGTATTTTTTTAAGAATAAAAGGCAGGTATTTTTAGAAAA